ATTTATTTATTTATATCAGAGAAGAGACAAAGTATATGACATGTGCCCCATTTACACCAGCCCTACTCTACTCTAATCAACTCCACTCTACTCTACTCTACTGTAATCTACTCTGCTCTACTGTAATCTACTCTGCTCTACTCTTCTGTACTTTACCCTACTCTACTCTACTCTACCCTGGTCCTGTTTAACGTAGGACAGTAGGATATAAATTGGAAACAGAGAAAGTAGAGTAGAGTTATTTCATTACTTAAATAAATGTTTATGGTTAAAAATTCCCATGGGAACTTACACAACATGTAAACAGATGAAGCTATGAATACATTGTAACTTCTAAACTTGAGGCCCCGCCCACATCTGTCCTTCTTATGGTCCCATCTCCCCCTTATGGCCCCCCGCTGTTTTACTACCGCCCCCTAGTGTTAAAGACGTGAACGAGCGGAATTAAGGCAGGGTTTAATTTGCGTCGGAGCAGATCAGCCTCAGGGCGCGGCTTCATTAACATCCTCCACTCTCTGCACAAACCAGGCCGAGAGACCATGGGAGAGGAACCAGGGGAGGGAGACCAGGGAGAGAGACCAGGGGAGAGAGACCAGGGAGAGGGACCAGGGGAGAGAGACCAGGGAGAGAGACCAGGGGAGAGGGACCAGGGGAGAGAGACCAGGGAGAGAGACCAGGGAGAGAGACCAGGGGAGAGGGACCAGGGAGAGAGACCAGGGGAGAGGAACCAAGGGAGAGAGACCAGGGGACAAGAACCAGAGGAGAGAGACTAGGGGAGAGGAACAAGGGAGAGAGACCAGGAGAGATAGACCAGAGGAGATTAACCGTGGGGAGAGGGACCAGGGGGGAGGAACCAAGGGAGAGAGGGACAGAGGGGAAGAGAGACGCCTGCTTCTGGAGGAAGAGTAAAAACAAAGTGTGGATGAACAGATGAAAGAAAAAAAATTAAGATTAATATTTAGTGAAACAAGTGTGAAGGGTAAAAATGCTTTATTTCAGGTCTCTCCCTGGTCTCTCTCTCTGGTATTACCATGGTCTCTCTTTCTGGTGTCACTCTCTCTCTATAGGCTCTCTCTCTCTCTCTCTCTCTCTCCCTCCCTCTTGGGTCTCTTAATTCTCTGGTCCCTCTCTCTCTCTGCTCTCTCTCTGGTTTCTCTCACGCTGTCTCTCTGTTTTGTCTTTCTCTCTGCTCTCTCTCTCTTCTTTCTCAAACCCACTCACTCTGCAATATTTAGAATTCCTGGAGACTTTTAACTCAGTAACTTTGCTGATGAGTGAGCACATACGTCTATAGTGTGTGGTTTCTCTCCCACTCCGTCAGCACATGCAGGATACAGGTGCTTAGTCCTGCTCCGCGGCGTTTGGACCAAAAACTCTCAAACCCAAAGCCGCTTTAGTCCTGGTTTAGTCGTGCAGAAAGTCCGCGTCATCTGCCTCACGTCCTGCGGAGAGGAGACGGGATTAAAAGAGCAAAGAGATTTAGTTTTAATTGAGGAGTTTTTAAAGAGCTCAAATCCTCCGCACGCATTTAGTTTATTTCATGATTGTGGGAAAAGAAGAAGTGGTTTTTCAAGTCTAAATGCAAAGAATGTCAAGCTGAGGTTTCTAACTTATTTTTGTCCCGTGTTAACTTGATCTCTTTGACTCTTTCTCTCTCTGGTCTCTTGCTTTCTTTTTTCTCGTCAAATGGTCTCTCTCTTGTCTCTCTCTGTCTTTCCTTCTTGTCTCTCTGGGCTATGTTCTCTCTCTTTCTGGTCGCTCCCTGGAGTCTTTCTCTTGTCTCTCTCTGGTCTCTTTTTAGTCTTTCTCTGGTCCCTCTCTGTGTCTCTCTGGTCCCTCTCTTTGTCTCTCCAGTCTCTCTGTTCTCTCTCTGGTCTCTGTCTGGACCTTTAATACACTTATAATTGAGAACACCTCTTCTTACAAAAAAAGAAAGACTGTGACTTTGTGACGAGTCCAGATCCATGTTTGGTCTAAACCTCTCTCGTCTCATGTTCCTGCTCCACCTGGTCTCTGTGGGTGGTCCTCCTCAGAAACCTGCACTGGAATGTCAGCAGTGGTCAATGTGTTTTTGTATAAAGGACTGTAACTCCCACAACTCTCTGTTCTCTGCTGTCTCTGGTCTCTCTCCTTCTGCTCTTTATCTGTTTTCTATCTGTGATCTCTCTCTCTGCTCTCTCCCTCTGGTCTCTGTTTCTCTCTCTGCTCTCCCTCTGGTCTCTCTCTCTCTTTCTCTCTCTGGTCTCTCTCTCTGCTGTCTCTGGTCTTTCTCTCTGGTCTCTCTCTGATCTCATCTTGAACCCTCTGAACCTGTCTCTTGTCCTGTTTTTCCCACACAGGTCACTTTGGCCTCAGTCCTCCCTCTCCTCAGGTGGTCCCACTGCCCACCTCCCATCACAACGATTAACAACACACCGGCCAATCTGTGGTGCTGACAGAGGAGCCTAAAGCCCCTGAGCCTGGACTGGACCTGTACTGGACCTGGACTGGACCAGGTCTCAGACAGGCCTTTGTTCCTGGAGCATGTCTCACATAGTTGAGCAGGACAGATGAAGTTCAGGGAGAAACAAAGAGCGCGTTATTCTCTGTTCGAGGTCAGAGCTGGTTTTGGCCCAGAGCGATACATGAAGAGCTAATGGTGGTTGCCATGGTTTCAAAGGAACATAAGTTAGTTCAGTTCCTGGTATTGGGTGGGTCTAATGCGCATAAACAGAAGAATAAACAATTTCAAATAATTAATCAGATTATCTGACTCCATGTAAAAGTAAAATCCTCTCAGGAACCTTTTGTGTCACTTAGAAAATTCTCTGGTCTCTCGCTCGCTCCAGTCTCTCTCTGGTCCCATAGTTCCTCTCTCTTGTCTCTTTTATGGTCCCTCTCTAGTCTCTCTCTGGTCTCTCGCTAGTCTCTCTCTGCTGTCTTTCTCTCTGGTCTCTCTCTGGACTCTTTCTAGTCTCTGATCTCTCTCTGGTCCCTCACTGGTCTCTCTCTAGTCCCTCTCTCTGGGTCCTCTCTAGTCTCTGATCTCTCTGGTCCCTCTACAGTCACTCTCTGGTCGCTCTCCAGTCTCTCTCTGGTCCGTCTCCAGTCTCTCTCTGGTCCCTCTTCAGTCTCTCTCTGGTACCTCTCCAGTCTCTCTCCGGTCCCTCTCTGGTCACTCTCTGGTCCCTCTCCAGTCTCTCTCTGGTCCCTCTTTGGTCTCTCTCTGGTCTCTCTCTGCACATGAAGACACTGGACACTGTTAAAATCCAAACCTGGCCTCAGAATCCCAGAATAATCCAGACTAGTGCTTTATAACGATCGTCACATGGTCCAGTGCTCTCCATCGACAGGAAGACAGATTCGCTCGTGGGTTTGGACCGGATCTTTGGCTCAGATCAATGAGACCAGAGCCCAGTGATGGATGAGCCGTCGCAACCAGTAACCAGCCCCGCACTGCACCATGTGTAACTTATTTAAACACCAGGATTTATAACTCTATGTAAAAACTTTTCATTAGGATTGGTTTTGTGTCAAACTCACGGCCCGAGGGCTGAATGAGGCCCAGAAACGCTCTGATCTCTCCGGTCTGTCTCTCTGATCCCTTAACGGTTTCTCTCACTGGTCTCTCTCTCTCTCTCTCTGTCTAGTTTCTTTATCTGGTCTCACTTCTCTCAGGCCTCGTTCTCTGGTCCATCCTTCTCTTCGATCTCTCTCTCTGGTCCCTGTGCTCCTCAGAGTCCTAGCAGGAGAACATAGTAAAATACATACATAAGGAAAAGTAAAAATGACAGCTAACAAAAGGTACATTCACTTTTTTATATTATTATTCAAAAGCGAGTCACAAGTTCAAAATATAAGACGCTGGAGATGCACTTGTTCATTCAATTATTGCCCAATGCTGCCATCTAGTGAGGAGACCACGGACTGCAGACCATAGACTTTTAATGAGACTAGAGAGTACGATTTTAAATATAACTTATGCCGATAGTATTTAAAGGAGACGTACTGTGCGTGAGTCTGCAAAAGGTTATAATGATATGTTTTGTATATTGCTGGTTCCAGACAAGTTGGCGTCTACATCAACCGGCCTCATACATATAGTGTCAACACCAGAGATCATGGAGAAACCAGAGAGAGACTCGAGAGACCAGAGAGAGACCACGGAGAGAGACTAGAGACAACAGAGGGACCAGAGAGATCCAAATAAATTTGCCTTTCCTATGCTACACGTTCCTCTCGATGTGTAGAAGCAGCGGCTCTACCCCGAGCTCCTGTCCATGTCTCTATCTTTTCTCACCAGAAAAAAAACTACACAAGATTTCATAGTCAAAGAGCCGTTCATTTACTAGTTTCCGTTCTTAAGAAGTGAATTACGAATGTAGGAAGCAGTGAGCACCGTCAAAGAAGACTTAAAAATATTCGTTTGAATTAAAATATTCTTTTAAAGGCGATGTGCGTAAAGTCGGATGGATTTGGCACATTCAAATAAATTAGTGAAATGCGAGACACAATGTAAACATGTTAACTTTCATAATAAAACACACAGAGGGCAAATCAAAAGTGCTTTGGTTTAAGACTCGAGACGTGAGGAGAAAGTCCAAGGAACGTTCTGTCTCCCACCGGTGGCCATATTGTTTCTTCTTTCTCGTTGTGTTGCAATAGTTTCTGTGGGAGTTTTTAAACCGGAGTGTGTAGAAGCCGTGGAATAAAAGGAAGCTGTAGAGAGAGATATGAGGTGAAAAGAAAATATTTTATTCCAATAGAAAAGTGATAAATGTGTTTATGTTGTGTTCAAGGCTCGTTGGACAAATATCTCAAGAGTAAGCATGTGTAATATGAGCTCTTGTCCACTAGGGGGCGATATAGTAATAATAATATTGTTATTATTCAACTCTTGGTACTAAATGCTAAATTACAACAGCAGTCAACTGTAGATCCAAGATTGAGGTGTGTGTGTGTGTGTCTCTCTCTCTTTTCTCTGTGTGTGTGTTTGTGTGTGCGTGTTGTATATCTGTGTGTTATATCTGCAGGTTGATAAATGGAGCGAAGCCCAGGACGTCTTGCAGCAGCACTAGCGCCCTCTGATGGGGAGGCTCCACGTCCATCTCCACCCCCCTCCTCCTCAGAGGCTCCAGACTCTGCTCTGACACATTATGACAATGATTCACTCTGAGAGAGAGGAGGCCAGGGCAGTACTCCGCCAGGGTCCTGACACACACATACAGAGACACATAAACACAACCTTAAAGGAGAGATGCACAATCACCTTCCCTGAGCATTTAACCACTTCACCACTTGGACTGCTATCATGTGATATCATGCCTCTCTCTAGTCTCTCTTTCTGGCATCTCTCTGGCCTCTCTCCAGTCTCTCTCTCTAGTTTGTCTCTCTCTGGCCTCTCTCTCTTCTTCTCTGACCTGATGCTGTGGTCGTGGACTCGCAGGCAGCCAGTCAGGTCCAGACTCTCCAGTCCTCTGCAGCTCTTGGCCAGAGCCTCCACCGCTTCGTCCGTCACGTTGGCGTTCACGGCCAGAGACACGCTCCGCAGCTTCACGCACTTTCGAGCCAAGTAACAGACGGACTCGTCTTTGAGCCGCCTGCAACAGAGGGGACCGGACAGAGGACTTTAGAGAGAGATATAAGATAAGACAAACTTTATTGATCTGTGAGAGGTGTGAGAGAAACCACTTAATAAAACTGATACTTATAATAACAAAGTGGTTTTATATTGTTCTGTTCCTGGACACTCTCTCTCTTTGGTCTCTCTCTCTATGCTCTCTCTCTGGTCTCTCCCCTCCCTCTCTCCTCTCACCTGCAGGCGGTGAGGTCTATTGACTGCAGATGAAGGCAGTGATCCGCCAGACTCCTCAGAGACAGAGCATCCACCCACTCGCAGTGCGCCAACCCCAGGTGCGAGAGCTGGGCGCAGGTGAGCGACACGGCCACCAGAGAGCGCCGTGTGAGACCAGAGCAGCCACGCAGCTCCACGCGGTGAAGCTGCAGGTTCTGTCCGATCACAGGCAGCAGGTCTGAGTCCGACAGCCAGTCTGAGCAGCAGTGCAGAGAAAGAGACTGCAGCGAGCGAGAGTCTCGGAGCAGAGAGCAGAAGGCTTCTCTGGGCAGAGTCGGACCCAGCTGTAGCAACCAGAGAGAAAAGACATTTTACACATAATAATGAGACAATTTCCTTTGTCATTGCATGTTTTAGAATGTGTAATAGTATCTTCAGTAGAAAATGCATAGAGAAACACATTTATGCTTGTAACTCCCTATGCTGCCACCAGAAGGAGCTGCAGAGAGAGAATAAAGAGAGACAAGAGAGACACCAGAGAGAAACCAGAGAGAGACTAAAGAGAGAGACCAAAGAGAGATTAGAGAGAGAGCAGAGAGAAAGACCAAAGAGAGGCCAGAGAGGGAATAAAGAGAGACAAAAGAGAGCCTAGAGAGAGACAATCAAGTAAAACTTAACTGGTAATTTGTGAAGAATGATGTTCACAATGTAACCTTAACACGTTTGCAGTACAACCACTAAAAGGACTAAACCACAACACAAACAGTGGTTTCTGCACAAACCGGAGCGAGGTGGAAGTGTCTGCAGTTGGCGAGGTAGAGCTGAATGAGGCTGAGGAACTGTTTGGAAACTCGCTGCAGCTGAACCAGAGTCTGGAGAGGGACATGGGACAAGACGTGAGGGACCAGGACATCCTCCCAGGGCAGGTCCAGGAGACCAAGGCTGACACACACACGGGGAATATAGATAAGACCACAGGGATAAGACTGTAACAACACAGGAGTAGAGCTGCAAGATGAATTGGATCTAATCGGAAATGCAATTTTTGTTCACAATTTGCTAGTCACAAGGACTGCAAATGTTGTACTTTTATTTTTTTTTAAATCACTTGAATTTGTGAAAATGTGTCATTATTTTGGTTTATTTTGATAATTTGTCTCTCTCTGGTAACTTTCTGGTCTCTAACGCTCTCTCGGGAATCTCTGTGTTCTCTCTCTCTCTCTCACTCTTGCCGGTCCCTCTCTGGCCTCTCTCAAGTCTCTCTCTGGCTTCTTTCTGGTCTCTCTATAATCTCTCTCTGTTATGGTGTCTCTCTTTTTCTTCTCTCTTTCTCTCTGGTCTCTCCCTGGTCACTTTGGTCTCTCTTTGGTCTCCCCTGGTCATGTTAGGTTAGTGTGAGACATCATTACATCATGCTATATTAAGTGACCTTTATAATTGCACCATGTCCAAAAACATTAAAGCTGCTACAGATTCAATAACATATTCAATAACATATAAAAACAAACTACATGAATTTGTCAATGTCATACAGTTATTAAGCATACATAACAATTGATAGGATATATTTGAGCCAGCCTTACAGTTCAGCCCTATGTGTGTCATTTAAAACACATACCAAACATATCTAAGCCATGTTGTAATAATATTGTAATATAAGTGTTTAAAATAAATAGGTCTGAACAAAAGTCAAAATGGTAATAACAGTATAAATAATATGTAATATACGCCATTACTTAATTTACATCTCTGAATACGAAGGATAACACGTGCTTGAGTTATAAATACATTCATTTATAGCTTTCCAGGCTGCTGCACAGATCAGTATCCTGCAGCTGCTAGCCTCAATGCTAACCCGCTAGCACAACATCCGCCCACTTTGCAAATTGAAAATAAACAGTAAAAATGCGACGTACTCTGCTTTACTCGCGTTTTCGTCCATGTTAACGGAAGGATGTTGGTCGAAGTTGACAAAGGACCGGTTATTCGTCACATAGTTCAGAAAGCATCATCAGCTAGCATAACATCTTACAGGCGAAGGACCCTGACCAGCGGTGCGTTCAAAGTCCGCCGGAGAAAAGAGTTTCGCTGTCAAATATGTCAAGAGTAAAATTTGAATAACTGACTATGTACACGCTATGTAACATTTTTGTTTCCTAGATGGCTATTTTTAGACATATAAATACTAAATCTAGTTTAAAGCGACCGTGAAGACCAGTACTAAACCATAATGCATGGGAAAAGTAGGCATACACTTTACCAAGTTAACAGGTTTGAGTTGAGTTGAACCATGGATCTATATATTAATTACATTTATATTATTCATTTTAATTATAATTTTATTTTAATATTTAATATTATTTTAAAATTTAATTATTATTACTATTTCTCTCTCTCTCGCTCGCTCTCTCTCTCACTCTCTCTCTCTCTCTCTCTCTCTCTCTCTCTCTCTCTCTCTCTCTCTCTCTTTCCCCCATGTACAATACTTGAGTAAAAGTACTCCGTTACGAGCTCTTTTCAGCGGCACAAAGCTGACGCAAACAAAGAGCATCATTCTGGCACAAAGTGCGTAAAGTGCTGAGGTGTGACTTTAGTGTAGGGGCCCCGTGGACTCCCCTCTGCTCTCCTCTCTGGTGTCTCTCTCTCTCTGGTTCGCCCAAGGGGTCAAACATGGACGTGAGCGGTAAATGCATCTATGATTTCTCGGCGGAGACGCTGGAGGGACGCGTAGTGTCTCTGTCCACGTTCAGGGGAAAAGTTCTGCTGATTGTCAACTTGGCTACGTTCTGAGGATCGACCATCGAGGAGGTGACCGCGGCATATCTGTAACATTTGGATTTAGAGTACTGGTTTGTAGTGGTTAGCCATGCTTCAGAGTTCATTCATAAATGTGTGAAAAGGTTAGCTTTGCTTCTAATTTACTTCTACTAGTATGATGTGGTTAGTCTCACTTCATACAGAAGTGGACTCTAATTGGATGTATAGTTAAATAGATAGATCTTTTTGATAGGACATATGTATTAATGACCAGACTGATACTAAAGCTGATGTTTGTAATTTCAGTATCCTCGTCTGAATGCACTGATGGAGGCGTTCGGTCGGCGTAACTTCATCGTCCTGGGATTCTGCTGCAACCAGTTTGGGCTCCAGTCTCCAGGTGAGTCCCAGACCAGTCCCTGTGCTCCTCAGAGTCCCAGTAGGACTCTCTCTCTGGTATCTCTCTGGTCTTCCTCTCTCTCTCTCTCTCTCTCTCTCTCTGGTCTTCCTCTCTCTGGTCTCTCTCTCTCTGGTCTCTCTCTCTCTGGTCTCTCTCTCTCTGGTCTTCCTCTCTCTCTCTCTCTCTCTCTGGTCTCTCTCTCTCTCTCTCTCTCTGGTCTCTCTCTCTGGTCTTCCTCTCTCTCTCTCTCTCTCTCTCTCTCTCTCTCTCTCTCTCTCTCTCTCTCTCTCTCTCTCTCTCACTCTCTCTCTCTCTCTCTCTCTCTCTCTCTCTCTCTCTCTCTCTCTCTCTCTCTCTCTCTCTCTCTCTCTCTCTCTCTCTCTGGTCTGTGGTCTCACTGTATTCCCTGTCTGTCAGAGGTGAACCATGAGACTCTAAACGTACTGAAGTATGTCCGACCTGGAGGAGGATTCGAGCCCAAATTTCCCATTTTCGGTCGAATCGACGTCAATGGTTTGAACGAGGAGCCTCTCTATACTTATCTGAAGGTCTGGGCTTTGTTTTGATTATTGACACAAACACAAACAAACAAACATCACACATATGTATTTGGCAGTTCATACAATTTTAATACAAAGAAATATTAGACTTTTTTCCACCAGCCCTACTCTACTTTCTCTACTATACTTTACTTTACTCTATGCCTCTTGGGATAAACAACAGGTAATATTTATGAGAAAAGAAAATTAGATACCCAAGCTTTAATATTACTCAAATAGGAACAAATCAGGGAGAGAGAGAGAGAGATTAAAGACCAGAGAGAGACCAGAGAGAGACCAGAGAGAGACCAGAGAGAGATCAGAGAAAGACCAGAGGGAGACCAGAGAGAGAAACCTGAGAGAGACCAGAGAGAGACCAGAGAGAGACCAGAGAGAGACCAGAGAGAGACCAGAGAGAGATCAGAGAAAGACCAGAGGGAGACCAGAGAGAGAAACCTGAGAGAGACTAGAGAGAGAGAGCAGAGAGAGATCAGAGAAAGACCAGAGAGAGACCAGAGAGAGACCAGAGAGAGACCAGAGAGAGAGACCTGAGAGAGACTAGAGAGAGAGACCTGAGAGAGAGCAGAGAGAGACAGAGAGACACCAGAGAGAGAGCAGAGAGAGATCAGAGAAAGACCAGAGAGAGACCAGAGAGAGAGAGCAGAGAGAGATCAGAGAAAGACCAGAGAGAGACCAGAGAGAGACCAGAGAGAGACCAGAGAAAGACCAGAGAGAGACCAGAGAGAGACCAGAGAGAGATCAGAGAGAGACCAGAGAGAGACCAGAGAGAGAGACCTGAGAGAGACTAGAGAGAGACCAGAAAGAGACAAGAGGGAGTCCCCAGTATACAGGACGTTGAGTTGCCGTGTGTATGAACTGTGCCATACAAATAAACTTGCCGTGCCTTACACAAACACATTCCCTTGTCTGTGAGTCTCTCTTCGGTCTCGCAGGAGTCGCTTCCGTTTGTGAACCCGGTGATCGGAGACATCAAGAAGTTCTACTGGTCTCCGCTCAAAGTCAACGACGTACGCTGGAACTTTGAGAAGTTCGTGGTGACAGCAGACGGCGCCCCCTACAGGAGGTCTGTGGCATTACTCTCTCTTTTATGGTTCTACAGATCCATCTCTCTCTGGCTCAGCTCTCAGCCCACAGAGGCAAATAGTGACTCATAGGGCAAAAGTAGGCAATATATGTTTCTAATAAGATTAAAACCAGAGAAAGAGAGAGCAGAGAGAGAGAGACCAGATAGAGAGAGAAAAAGCAGAGAGAGAAAGACCAGAGGGTGGTAGAGACCAGAGAGAGGGAGAGAGACCAGAAAGAGAGACCAAAGAGAATGACCAGAGAGAGCAGAGAGAGGGAGATACCAGAGAGAGTGAGCAGAGAGACCAGAAAGAGAGAATAGAGAGAGAGACCAGATAGAGGGAGAGCGACCAGAGAGATTAGAGATAGACCAATTGTATTTCTGCTGAATCAATCCTAATTAAATCTTCTTTCTGTACAGGTATGACCTCCACAGCCCGTTTGAGAACGTGGAGCAGGACGTCGCCGCCCTGTTGGCCTGAGCAGAACTGTTTTAGTTTGGAATCCAGCAACGAATGACGATCTCTCGGTCAAAGCAAAACCCCGCAGCCGAGTCAGATCCGAGGGAGGGCGAGCCGCGTCCGGAGCTGCGTGCATTCACTCCGACTGCTGCTCCACTCACAGCCTGGAGTCAGACGCTAAAACAGACACCGTGTCTGAGAGAAATCTACAATAAAAGATAAATGATACAGCTGTGTGGCTTTGTGATCGGCACTGAACTCTCTTTACGAATAAGAACTGTCTCTCTCTTCGGCCTTTCTCTGGTTTCTCTCTCTGACCTCTCTGATCTCTCATTGGTCTGTCTCTGGTCTCTCTCTCTCTCTCTTTGATCTCTCTCTGGTACCTATGTCTAGTCTCTCTGATCTCTCACTGGACTGCATCTTGTCCTTCTCTCTAGTCTTTTTCTCTGGTCTGATCCTTTTGTTCCTTTGCCTGTCAGACTGTACAACAAACCTAGATGAGTCTTCTGCTGCTGGACACCTAAATTTCTCCAATGGGTCGATCAATAAAGTATCATCTATCTCTTTGGTCTCTGGTCCCTCACTCTGTGGTCTCTCTCTCTGGTCTTTCTCGGTGGTCTCTCTCTAGTCCCTCTCTCTAGTCACTCTGGCTGGTCTCTCTCTGGTCCTTCTCTCTCCATACCTAGTACTGCATGGTAGTAGTTGTTATTTCGCTATTCTAACGCTAGAGAACGCGCATTCCCCAAACTGGAGAAAGAGCAGATGACGCATGCGCAGTGGTGTTTCCATCCCAGCCGCTGTAAACATGGCTGGCGTAGGCTTTCGGAAAGTGGTCCGAGCGCTAACAAAAAGCAAAGGATCCGGGTTCTCTGCGCTCCTGTCCGGATGTAGAGCAGGTGGGTGCTTCGCCATCTCTTCAAGTACCTTGCATTTGCACGTTTGTTTATATTCATGCTTGTGTTTTGTGGTTAAGAGCTGCTAATAGTTGTAACCTTGACGTGTTAGCATTAGCCACCGCTAGCTCCACGGGTTCACATTGGAGATGGTTTGGGTTTATTAATTTCTCAAACTAAACATCAGTCACCTGGGTAATGTATGCAGTTAAAACGCGGTGTTGTCGTTTCCTGTCTAAACTAATACAATGTACATGAAGTTGTTTCCCACTGACCTGTCACGATATGTTGCTGTGTTCGAGTCGATCTCCCTCATGGATCTATAATAACACTCCCTCTGGTCTCTCACTCTAGTCTCACTCTGGTCTCACTCTGGTCTCACTCTGGTCTCACTCTGGTCTCACTCTGGTCTCACTCTAGTCTCACTCTGGTCTCACTCTGGTCTCACTCTGGTCTCACTCTGGTCTCACTCTGGTCTCACTCTGGTCTCACTCTGGTCTCTCACTCTGGTCTCACTCTGGTCTCACTCTGGTCTCACTCTGGTCTCACTCTGGTCTCACTCTGGTCTCACTCTGGTCTCACTCTGGTCTCACTCTCATCTCTCTGGTCTCACTCTGGTCTCTCACTCTGGTCTCTCACTCTGGTCTCTCACTCTGGTCTCTCTCTGGTCTCACTCTGGTCTCACTCTGGTCTCTCACTCTGGTCTCACTCTGGTCTCACTCTGGTCTCTCACTCTGGTCTCTCACTCTGGTCTCACTCTGGTCTCACTCTGGTCTCACTCTGGTCTCACTCTGGTCTCACTCTGGTCTCTCACTCTGGTCTCTCACTCTGGTCTCTCACTCTAGTCTCAGTCTGGTCTCACTCTGGTCTCACTCTGGTCTCACTCTGGTCTCACTCTGGTCTCTCACTCTGGTCTCTCACTCTGGTCTCTCACTCTGGTCTCTCTCTGGTCTCACTCTGGTCTCACTCTGGTCTCACTCTGGTCTCTCACTCTGGTCTCACTCTGGTCTCACTCTGGTCTCTCACTCTGGTCTCACTCTGGTCTCACTCTGGTCTCACTCTGGTCTCACTCTGGTCTCACTCTGGTCTCACTCTGGTCTCACTCTGGTCTCTCACTCTGGTCTCTCACTCTGGTCTCTCTCTGGTCTCACTCTGGTCTCTCACTCTGGTCTCTCTCTCTGGTCTCTTTCTGGTCTCTTTCTTTTGTCTCTTTCTGTTCTCTCTGGCTGATTTCTCTCTCTCTCTCTTGTCTTGTTTTAGTCTCTCCCTCTGATCTGGCATAAGAATCCTTTTGAGTAATTGGACAAGATACAATTTGATTTGCAAGTTTATGAATGGATGATCATTGGTCTTTAGTATGATATAATTATACATTTAGAATGTTATCAATCTTTTTTACCGTTTTATTATTTTGTATTTATTTATTTGTTCCTTCCGAGCCCACAACAGTACACATTTGTACACATAACAAGCATCCAAATGCACAATGGTGCATCAGTGGACAGACCATACCAACAAATATATACAACCCATATCACTAATTCACCCGTGCACAGAAAACAAAACAAAAAATAATAACATTAATAAAACACGCTTTACATATTCACATAGGCCTTGTTGTTATTATACACAAATTGCTCCATGAGCTCGAAATGGAGTGGGAAGAAGAAAAACTTCTTTTAGTTAAACCTTTGTTTAACTGAGATTGGAGAATACTGGCCCATGAGAGGGGCGAGTTATTGCACCAGGGTTTTAGTAGTGTGAGATTTCATAACACTTTTAAGCAACTTTTGTTAAAGTTAAACTCATCATTCTATCAATGTGCAGCAGCCAGTACTCTTCCCTTGTTGTGTCTATCTGAAGGCCAAGCTACATGGCACCGTGGAAGCTGCTGATTGGAGGTCTCCATGCCTCCGCTCTGTATAATACACTTGCATTCTGTTTTTCGTGCTGTCTCTACCATTGACAATAAAACATGTCTTCTGTCTGAATTAAAGACGCAATCCCAGACTTTGTCATCTTCTTCAGTAGTCAGCACCCAAAAAAACTTTTACAGACAACAGGGAGAACATGCAAATGCCACAGAAAGAGGAACTGTTCTTGCCAGGATTTATTTTTACATGCCCTAATGCCTTAACAAATCCCTAGTTTGTGACTTATCTGGTCACCATGGAATAGACCAGACAGTTATACAGATGATGATGATGATGATGATAGTAATAATAACTCGTGTTTGTGTTGCAGCCTCTGGACCGGCTAAAGGTTCTCTCCCAGGTCCATTCCCTCAGACCCCAGAGGAAAGAGCTGCAGCTGCCAAGAAGTACAACATGAGAGTGGAGGATTACGAGCCATATCCCGACAAAGGCGAGGGGTCAGTCACTCTATACAGTCTCTAGGAATCACAAGGTTTAGTCAATGGGCTGCGTTAATGAGACATCTCTCTCACTGGTCTATATTCATATCTAATATGGCGGCTTTGTGACTCTAATCACAATCAAATAATATCCCTCTGGTCGCTCTCCCTGTGGCCTCTCTCTCAGGCCTCTCTTTCTGGCTTCTCTCTCTCATACTAGTGTCAAAGATGATCCTTATACAAACACAGAAGTACATTATGACATTGATAATCACCTGTATATCAGTCTGATTCGTCCTCAGAGAAGCCTAAAGCTGTTTTTTTGCTCAGATTATGACAAGTACTTTTGTTTTCAGTTATGGAGATTATCCCAAGCTTCCGGACAGATCTCAACACGAGAGAGACCCCTGGTACAAGTGGGACCATCCAGACCTGAGGAGGAACTGGGGAGAGCCGGTGCGAAAGTTGCATAGACACCAGATCCAAACAATATACATGAATGTTTTAATACAAGTACTGTATAACCCCAACAGGCAAAACATGTATTTATTTTAAAGCTGTACTACCTAAGCTGCAATAATGGATCAGTGTATTATAATCCTCACTCTCAAAACCTCTGTCACATTTACGGTCTCTCTAGTCTCGGTCTCTCTCTCCTGTCTTTCTTCTTTCTGTCTAGTTCCTCCCTCTCTGGTCTCTGTCTTTGGTCTCACTCCCTCTCTCCCTAGTCTCTCTCTGCTGTCTCTATGCTCTCATGAATACACGTATGCCCCTGTCACATCTGTAGATCAGATTATTCAAACAGAAAGGCCATGTTCCAGCTTCTTCCCTCTGGCAGAAGAGGGCATATCGAATTGTTTCCTGCACTTTTTAGATTGTTTTTTTTACCTACTTGTCTGCTGCACACTGGGGACTTTAGCGCATGTATTCCAATGTGGTTTTACTGCAAATGGCAAATAAACATTGTTTCCTTGTTTTTCTACTTGTTTCTGCACAGATGCACTGGGACTTTGACATGTACATTCGTAACCGTGTGGACACTTCTCCCACTGTCGTTCCCTGGTCGTCCATGTGTAAGCAGCTCTTTGGCTTCATCGGCTTCATGCTCTTCATGTTTTATCTCGGCGAGAAGTTTCCGGCTTATCAACCTGTGGTGAGGCCAGAGAACTGGACTATTCTCTATCAAGTTTAAGTAATAATAAACTATATATTTCTTCGGTGGCTCAACATATCTTTGTTGGTTCCAGGCCCCCAAACAGTATCCCTTCAACAACCTGCACCTGGAGAAGGGAGGAGACCCAGAGAAGGAGCCAGAGGATGTCAAGAACTTCGAGATCTGACGCCGCTGTTTTTCCTGTGTATATATTTCTGTTTAAAATAAAAACCTATGCCACTATAGTTGTCGCTTCTGTGGTATTTGCACTGAGCCAAAGCAATTTCCAAGTCTGACTTCCTGTTACTTACGTGGCAATAAAAATGATTCTGATTCTGAAACGCACAGCACAGTGGTTTGTTATAACTGAAAGCTGGTGGGGGTCACACATCATTATTCAACGAACAGCTTTATATTTGGTAAGAGATATCTATAGCTGTATTTTGTTTGTTCATCTTGTTTTATATTTTAATGTTTGAAATTTAACTAGTGGAGTTTCCTTTTATCCTGGCTTCATAAGATTACCGTTACTCACAGTAAGTGCTAAAACTGGTGATATAAAACAAAAATCATTTTGTTGAAATGTTAATGCTAACATGATGCTAACTGATGAGCGTAAAAAGGGCGTTGCCATGGTAACTACTAGCACTGGTTCTTCTCAGCGCTGAAGCTAATAATAAAACTAAACATGATCAAAAAACAATGACCGAGACATACATGAAATATTGAGTAATACGCTGAGTGATTACACTTCCAAAACAAAGTGTTATTACCTGTGTCTAAAAGGTATAAATAGTTGCTACTGATTTACACTATTTTTAATTCATACAATTCTGTCGTTTATTTGTATCATTTATTGATAATACAATTCGTTTTGTTTCGTTTCGCGAAGTCAAAGTTGAGCCGAGGCCACGCTGGCGCTGTCTCACGTTTGTCCCTCTCCGGCTCCCGTAGCCTCAGTGACAACACGACAGCACTTTGCTCTGGTTTAGCTTGTGGCTCACGCTAACTCCACTTCTCACCAATAAAACCAGCTCTAAACCGTGCATGACAGATCTGCACTCGCGAACACCTCCCTGCGTAAGTCAGACGTCACCAGTTATTGCAGAATAAGCTGTTTTTAATGCCGTGTTAATTGCGAGATTTGGAGAAAAGTCAAGTCTGGGTGGCGACTGCTGCTGGATGCTAACGGCTAGCAGCGGCTTAGATAGCTGGTTTTTCTCATAAGGATTTTTTTTTCGACCAAATGTTTACGTCAATACATGTGTTACAGGAAACGGACTGGTCATATAATCAATAACTTGTCATTCTACGTTGATGGCGTGTATTGTAGAGCTATAGAAATGGAAAAGAGATGCAAGCCATGTCATTATTATAAAGGTTGTAAGGTAAAGCAAAGCAAGTCTATTTGAATAGCACAGTGTATACACAAGGTAACTCAAAGTGATTGACAGGCCAAGATACAAACAATACACACGAGGTATACAAATAAATAATCACAGTACATTCAAAAGCAGAACCAGAACTGTTTTTAACCTGGATATGAACATTGTCAGAGAAGAAGCCTGTCTCACATTTTCAGGAAGACTTCCAGCTGAATTAATGCTGCCTCCCCACGTTCAGTCCTGACTATGGGCACCAGCAGGAGTCCCGTCCCTGTGCTCCTCAGAGTGCAGAGACCTGAAAACTGGACTTAAGTGATGGTATTTCCTGGTTCTATGGCCTTAAGCTTGTATTTACTTCCATTCTCGTCTTGCTCTGCTATAAATCTAAACATATTGCTTTGGTTCATTTGATAATTGAAAGTGCATGTGCTGAAGTAGTATTATAAATCTAATGTCTGGCGCCGTCCAATTTCACAATGGAATAGACTAGGGCTGGGCGATATGGCTAAAAAGTAAAATCTCGATTTGAGTTCCTGCTTTGGACGATTTCCATTGAAATCGATTTTTATTAGAGTCACCAAAGACAGACTTCGCCCTTAAAAATATTTTTTGATCTTTCCGCTAGATATTCAAGACTATTTTTAATTTGTTTCCTCCAATACGTATCATAAAAGTCTTGTACAGACTGTGTTGATATTGCAAGTATGATTCATGTGCAGCTGGAACTCTCACAATATCCTTCATTCCATTTCACGGTTTTCACTTTTTCACAAATTTGATTTTTTTCAAAAGCCGATTGTTGCCTAAATTTCTTGCCCAGCCCTAGAATATACGCATTAATTTTGTTTTACTACTAAGCTGGGACTCTGAGGAGCACAGGGACTGGCCTCCTGCTGGTGCCCGTGTCAGGACTTAATACGTGGAGGCAGCATTTCAGTAGTCATCCCTCTGTTTCACCAGGATGTTATAACTCATCTTGTGTGACATAATTTTATCTATTTTATTGTAGCATTATTTTGGCTATTTTTACCAATTCCTTTATGCTATAATCTGGCCGGGCTTTTTGATCTTTCTGAACAAAGTTGGACTGAACCAAAACTGGACATAAGTAAGAAGAAGACTGATAGGCCTATTATTGTTATTATTAATTCCATTCTGGGTTCAGAATAAAATAAATTATATGGATGTTTCCTTGGTAAAAATATGTTTATCGGCCATTATACTTCTAATCATGTTTGCAAGAATTGGTAACTATTTAAAGTACCCCCTGTAATACCCTTGGTTATCCCTAGGGGCGCACTGCTCTATAGGACACTGTAGACCTTTCTCTGTAGCTGTTGTAGTAAAACTGAATTGATCTGTTTTGTTTATTCAGGATTTGTAAACGTTTGGCTGCTCTAGAGGAAGATGAGGCTGAAGGAGATCCAGAGGACGGCTCACCAGGCCTGGAGCCCCCCCAGCCATCACCCCATCCACCTGGCTCTGGGTACGACCCCAAACTCTGCTCTGGGTTCACTTAAATCAAGGGTCTCAAACTCAGTGTATCCGGGGGCCCCATGAGGTGGAGTCTGGGTGAAGGGTTATGTTCATCACGTGTTTGTGAGTGTGCATATAACATATATGAACATGAGAGCAAATGGATCTATGCTCATGCAGAGCTCTCTGTTATCCTGGTGTTTATATTGTAACATTGTATATGTAAATAAAAAATACTGACCAATCAGGAGCTTTCTAGCGCTAAAATTAGCTTTAGCAGCAAGTAGCGTGAGTGGGAACAGTTCTGATCCGCTCTTGGTAACTTGGTTATTGCTACCATCAAAATTACCATACATTTTGCTCCTCAACACTCTCAAAAAGTCTGTTCAAGCTAGCTCTATTCACCGTTTTCTTCATTAAGCTAACTATCCTAGCATACAGTGGAACAAAGAGAATCCGTAGTATTTTTTTTCCATTGTAAGTAACAGAAGTCACAAACTAGGAATCTGCTGTGGCTCAGGTAGCGGCGCCCATCTGAACAGTTTCTCAATGCACCTTTTGTAGATTATAATAACTATGAATCATTCTCTTTTAAAACCATATATATGAAATGTTTTGTAGAAAGTAATCATCTGTCATTGCTGTGTCTCAGGAACATCTGCACAACAGCTGGACGCCTCCTTCAACACCAGTGCTGCTTTAGAGATCTTTGAGCTGGACTTTTCTGACCCATGTCTGGACATGCAGCTCAAAGGCTCTCTGCCCATCACCAACAGGTAAACACACAGACTATCAGTTTGTGTAAACTCTCAGTCGTACAGGGATTAGTCAAAGCAAAGGAAGGTTTCTCACCCATCATCTGTACTTCTTAGCAAGTTTTCCCGACGTTTCGTCCTCAACCTGGGGACTTCTTCAGGGAATGAATTCTCGGACCGCGCGTTGGAGATTTATAACCTATGGGTGTGGTTAGCCACACCCTAATCCTGATACTAACTCATAAACAATCTAAGGTCTGCTTGATGTAGAAGGGAGCAGGTCTAACGACCCTGCTGAGGCTAACGACCCTAACTCCTTAGCATGTCACAGACCTATTGTCTGCTGGGATGCTCAAGTGGAGTGCAGGTCTCACCCCTCCTAACTCATTAGCATGTCACTGACCTTGTCCCAAGTTAGGGCGTTGTTTTTAGGATGTCGTCATAGATGCGAGGCAAAACAAATCTTAACCCTCCTCCTCTGTTAAGAGAAGGTTTTTGTTTCCTCACAAAAATGGCTTCTTTCACTCCTCTCTCAAACCAATTCTTCTCCCGAGCCAGAATTTTAACCTCTGTGTCATCCACCGTGTGGTTGGAGGCCTTGAGGTGGAGATGAACAGCCGACTGTGGCCCACTAGAGTTTTCTCTACGATGTTGGTGAAGTCGTTTCTGTAGAGTTTGTTTGGTTTCTCCAATATAGTGGTCAGTGCACTCCTCTTCACTACATTTAATTGAATACACCACATTGCTCTGTTTGTGTCTGGGTGTTTTGTCTTTAGGATGCACTAATTTCTGTCTTAACATTTTGAAAGGTTTGAAATACACAGGGATTTTGTGTTGCCTAAAGATTCTTTGTAGTTTCTCTGAAACTCCCGCCACATACGGTAAGGACACCCCTCTCCTCCTACTTTCTTCTGTCTGTTGGACTGTGTCTCTGGCCTTTCTCGTCCTTTGGGCTTTAGTGAAAGACCACTTGGGGTAGCCACATCTGGAAAGTGCTCTCTGAACATGTTTGGTTTCTCTGTTCTTTCCCTCCGAGCTTGTGGGGACCTGGTGGGCTCGGTGTTGAAGCGTTCTAATGACCCCGAGTTTGTGTTGTAGCGGATGATTTGAATCAAAGGCCAGGTACTGGTCAGTGTGAGTGGACTTTCTGAAGACCTCAGTCTCTAATTGTCCGTTCTCCAGTATGATGACCTTACAATCTAGAAAGGCGAGTTCACTCTCCTTAGCATCCTCGCGAGTGAAATTTATAAAAGGGTCCACCGAATTAATGTGTTCTGAAAATGGTTCCACTTCCTGTTTCTTTAACTTAACCCATGTATCGTCTACATATCGAAACCAATGGCTTGGCGCTGTCCCTTGGTAAGAGCCCAGGGCTTGTTCCTCCAGTTTCTCCATATACAGATTGGCCACTATAGGAGAGACTGGGGAGCCCATCGCACAGCCATGAATCTGTCTAAAGAAGGTGCCTCTAAATTGGAAATACGTGGTGTTAAGACACATTTCAAGTATTTCACAGATGTGGTCAGCTGTTAGTTTCGTTCTCTCCCCTAGTGTGGCGTCTTTCTGTAGGCTTTCTCTTACAGCCTGCACCGCCTCTGTAATAGGGACCGACCAGTGGGACCAGACTATCATTAAAGCTGGGGTTCCTAACCTTCTCTCTCCCGAATTATGGGGGAGGGAGAGATCAGAGAGAGGAAGTAGAGAGAGTCCACACATGTTTCAAAAGGTACAAAAATAGAATATTTTTTTAAAAGGCTGCTACTGCCAGGTGAGTGAAAGCTCCATCGACTTCCTGACAGCACTTTTGAATGTGGCCGGTCCCACCCATCTCATGTCCTGCCAGTCCCAATCAGCTCTCCCATTGGCTGGATCCTGAAAGGAGGAGAAAGCCAGCAGCAACATCCGAACCAGACAAGACTGGGGTCGTCACACCCTCCCCCTTAAAGAGCGACTAAACACTTGTGACCAGCCTTACTCCGCCCATATGCACATTTGAGAACTTTCTCTAAAGAGGGTGTTGCCTGGAAGACCAAGGGACAAGAAGGGGGGCTTAGAGCTGGGCGTGGTCTGGCCTGTAATTGACAGCTCACTAGTCACACAAAAAAAAACACAGTTGTCATTGCTGCTTAAAGAAATAGTTTACAGATCAGAAAGTCTCATTCCACCCTTGTTTACACACTTAAGATAATTGTAGAGTTACACACCTGAACCTCGGCCATTGATTTAACTCTGCAGCAGTGATTGTCAACTCATGTAATTTAATTTTAATCCACTAGATGGCGCCAGAATACTCAAACCTGCTACTGGGGCATGTGTGAGTTTAAAGGGTTTATATCACTGGCCCAGACAGACTGACGTCACACAGAATTAGTCAATGGAGAGGCCAGGACCACATTCAAATGTAGTACCACCGAAAAGGTTTGAGAGGGCGCCACACGGACGTTTTTAGGCCCTAAAGTGATATTTTATCGAATCTGCACTTAAATGTCAACAAAATGACCAGGATATGTAGAGAGCACTACAAAAAAACGTATTTATGCAGTTAATGAGTTAAAAAAGTTGATTTGGTGTTTAGTCGCTCTTTAAGTCACAAACCAAGGGTTTTTGTAAAGCAAATTAACGACCCCAGAGTTAAGTTCCAAGAAATTCCAAGTGCAAATTCAATATTTGTAAGTTACACTCACCTTCACGCTTTTGGAATCTCCACACAAACAACGAAACTACACAAAAACTCAAAACTGAGGCAACCATGTATAGCGCCACCTGCCTTTGTTGCACTCAACTATCCTTTCTCCAACAATCTAATTACAAAAGGCAAAGTTACAAGTTGAGCCACACAGACTCAACTAAAAACCAAAACATCTCTCACCAAGCCAACAAACCTGACAACCTTTAAAAAATACCATCCAAATCCAATCAGCTCTCCCATTGGCTGGATCCTGAAAGGAGGAGAAAGCCAGCAGCAATACACAGAGGTGTGGACTCGAGTCATGTGACTTGGACTCGAGTCAGACTCGAGTCATGATTTTGATGACTTTAGACTCGACTTGACCAAATATAAAAAGACTTGCAACTCGACTTGGACTTTAACATCAATGACTCTGACTTTCACTTGGACTTGCGCCAATTGACTTGTAAAGACTTGCGTAACCCGGGCCATTTTTACCTTTCTCCGCATCTCTCTTTCTATCTATGCCGTCTCTGAAGAAACAAAGCCTCGCGGTAGTTGTAGCGCTCGCGCGAGAGTTCGAACGTGAGTTCCAGGCAGTTCGCGCAGCAACACTTCCCTAAACAAGCGGACTGCATTCACCGGTGGGTGTGTTGTCTAGGGGAGCTGGAAATAAGCGAGCTGCAGGTATTTATCGCGACCTAACGTCATATTTTGTTCTACAAACCGTAATTATATGCTTTCACTACAGGCGCCTCATACAATTGAATCGACGCAGTTGTCACACTGTGTGCCGTGTTTTAAAGAGGAACTGGTGAGTCAAACTAGCGCTAGCCTGCGCTGCTCTGTTGGCTCTTTCTTATATTTTTCTGTGTGGGCGCCGAGGCCTATTATTATGAGTATGTTTTTGCTGTGCTCATCCTGCTAAAGTTTGCATACATTAGATAGTTGTTTTGATTATGTGCACTAAGCTAGATTAATATTTGCACTATTGTTTATGGTTCATTGATATGAGAATCAGTGCTTTGACTGATTGAATTAATTTATATGAGACATTTTATTATGTAATGATATATTGGTAATTATGAGATATTGCTAATGCTGGTCCAGTTGATGGCGAGCTGCCCCAGGTCCAAAGCCTAGACCCCTCATACTACCCCTATTCTACAGTAGGACATTTGGAACAATAACCACTACGGACATTAAACTGATTACATAGATACAGGTCCTAGCCCAATACTCATATTCATATATGCTGCACTTGCTACTTCCCATTAAAAACCCCAAAGATAAAAAGTATGTTGACACGGACTGCTCTGTGTTTATGTGTGGTCTGTGCATGTGTAACTGAGCCTGCATCTGGCACAACATCCAATTAGATCACGTAGATAGTTTTGATTTATCAGCAGCCAACGACATGGAACAAACTGTTAGTCCATGGGTCAGAGACCAACGAGAATGCACCAGCAAAATGATTCCTAACATTATTTTGTTTGCCTACAAAAGTACGTGGAGACCAACAAGAAACAAATCGCGGTCAAAAAGACTCGAGAGGACTCGAAAGTCAAACCGTAGGACTTGGGACTGACTTGAGATTTGTTGGCCTTTGACTTGGACTCGACTCGGGACTTGCCTGTCTTGACTCGTGACTTGACTCGGGACTTGAGGGCAATGAATTGAGACTGACTTGTGACTTGCTAAACAATGACTTTGTCCCACCTCTGGCAATACACGAATCAGACAAGACTGGGGTTGTCACAAGAGGGGGAGAGACCAGAGAGAGAGGGTGAGACCAGAGAGAGAGGGTGAGACCAGAGAGAGAGGGTGAGACCAGAGAGAGAGGGTGAGACCAGAGAGGGTGAGACCAGAGAGAGAGGATGAGACCAGAGAGAGAGGATGAGACCAGAGAGAGAGGATGAGACCAGAGAGAGAGGATGAGACCAGAGAGAGAGGATGAGACCAGAGAGAGAGGATGAGACCAGAGAGAGAGGATGAGACCAGAGAGAGAGGATGAGACCAGAGAGAGAGGATGAGACCAGAGAGAGAGGATGAGACCAGAGAGAGAGGATGAGACCAGAGAGAGAGGATGAGACCAGAGAGAGAGGATGAGACCAGAGAGAGAGGATGAGACCAGAGAGAGAGGATGAGACCAGAGAGAGAGGGTGAGACCAGAGAGAGAGGGTGAGACCAGAGAGAGAGGGTGAGTTCATGATAAAAAGCCTCGTAAGTATCATCACTGTAAAGTACAAAGTAAATATAACTTTCTGAGTTTCGAAAACCTTATTAAATATAATCAAATTTCTGCTCTGTTTAAAATAATCTATAACATCACTGCTCCCCCTCTGAGAAAATGTTTTACACTCAATTCGGAGAGAATCTCTAGAACCACACGGTCAACAGTCAGAGGAGAGTGCAGCGTTCCAAGACGCAAAACTGCATATGGTCAACAATCATTCTCTTATAAAGCAGCGAGCCTTTGGAACACTCTTCCAAATGAAATTATTTCATGCACAAATTATAGCACATTTACACGTCTAACCAAACAGTGGTTATTATCAAAGCAAACCTGTACGCACTGAATGACTGTGAACGCTGTAAACTGTGAGCGAGAGTGAATGATAGAAAGTGCTTTTATGATGTAAGCGTTTATGTATTATTCTGTATATATTTTATGAATTCTTTTAAGTATAACATCAACCTGTCCAGGGACTGCGGGTGGAAATTAGCATTTTTGCTATAACCTGGCACATGACATCTCTTCTTTTTTAGACTAATGTTGTTTGTGCATTGTCCCTGATCAAATAAATAAAGTAAACTAAACCAGAGAGAGAGGGTGAGACCAGAGAGAGAGAGTGAGACCAGAGAGAGAGAGTGAGACCAGAGAGAGGGGGAGAGACCAGAGAGAGAGAGGGAGAGACCAGAGAGAGACCAGCCAGTTATATAGTGAAACATATCTTAATCATGATAGTTCCTTATATGGCTCTATCGCCCGGTCTTAATATAAAATACTGTGGGATGAATAAAGACGATCTTATCACTGCTCGTTTAGTTTGACACTGATAGGTGTTTGTTGTCCGCAGGTTGCACAGTCTGGTGTGGGTGAACTATGGGATGGCGGCAGACGGCAGCGGGGGGAGACTCGTGGCCGGAGCAGAGAACGGAACAGTGACGGTCTATAAACCAGAGGCCATCATCACCTCTGACCCTGAGGCCGAGGTGGGAGTGTCCGACAAGCACACAGGGCCTGTCCGAGCCCTGGACTTCAACCCGTTCCAGGTACTGACCCTGGGAATGTGTGGAGGACACTAGGCGCCTCTCCTCGCCCACACATGTCACTGCGGTGTATGATATTTAAATTGTATAAAATGTGCCATCTAGATAAATTGTCTTCTCATTTTGTCCACAGAATAATCTCCTTGCATCTGGCGCAAACGATTCCGAAATCTACATTTGGGACTTGAACAGTTTCAGCACCCCCATGACGCCCGGAGCCAAGACACAGGTGAGACCAGAGGGAGAGGGACCAGAGGGAGAGGGACCAGAGGGAGAGGGACCAGAGGGAGAGGCACCAGAGGGAGAGGCACCAGAGGGAGAGGCACCAGAGGGAGAGGCACCAGAGGGAGAGGCACCAGAGGGAGAGGCACCAGAGGGAGAGGCACCAGAGGGAGAGGCACCAGAGGGAGAGGCACCAGAGGGAGAGGCACCAGAGGGAGAGCTCATGTTTGTGTGTCTGTGTTTGCAGCCGGCGGAGGATGTGAGTGTGGTGTCGTGGAACAGACAGGTGCAGCACATCCTGGCGTCAGCGAGTCCCAGCGGGAAAGCTGTGGTGTGGGACCTGAGGAAAAACGAGCCCATCATCAAGATCAGTGACCATAGCAACCGGGTGAGAGAGAGAGAGAGACCCCGCCTTCAGACACTCACAGAGAGTGCAAAAAGCGAACAAGACCTTAGAGAGGGAGTCTTTGCTGGACCTTGTCCCCTGTTTAAATGTGTTCAAATGTGTTTGATTTTTTGTGTGTCTCAGATGCACTGCTCTGGGATGCTCTGGCACCCTGACGTTGCCACTCAGCTGGTTCTGGCCTCAGAGGACGACAGGCTCCCGGTCATTCAGATGTGGGATCTGAGATTCGCCACTTCGCCTCTCAAAGTGCTGGAAAACCACACGCGGTAAGGCAACACGCCTCTCTAACACCAGTCACAACCAGGTTTTAAGTACACTGAATTTAAGACCTGAAAAGCTATACACGGATCTTCTAAGCACGTATAACACTGAAAATGTTGATCTAAAGATGGGCAGAGACCAAAAATGACATGGAGTACTAAGAAACTAGTTTTTTCCTATTGTTTGTAGTAGGGCTGGGCGATATGGCAAAAAAGTAAAATCTCAATTTTATTTCCTGCTTTGGACAATGTCGATTTTCATTAAAGTCACTCAAGACAGACTTTGCCCTTAAAATATTTTTTATCTTCCCGCTCAATATTTAAGTTTCAAAACAATTTTTTATTTGTTTCCCCCAATACATATTATAAAAGTCTTGTACAGACTGTGCTGATATCGCAAGTATAATTGATGTGCTGCTGAAACTCTCATAATATCCCTCATTCGATTTCACATTTTTCACATTTTTCACGAATTCGATTTTTTTCAAAAGCCGATTAATTGCCAAAATTCGATTTATTGGCCAGTTCTAGTTTGTAGCTTGAAAACTGTATGGTCACTGTTAGCAAATACACAGAAGCAAAAACACAGAAGAATAAAAAGAATAATAGAAAACCTTTTGGTTTGTTCACCTTTGATTGACTATATAGTCTCTCTTCTGGTCTCTCTCTGGTCTCTCTGTTTGAATCTCTCTCTCTAATCCTCTCCTGTTTAATTCTGTTTAGTGGAATCCTGTCGATATCCTGGAGCCAGGCAGATCCTGAGCTTCTCCTCAGCAGCGCCAAAGACAATCGCATCCTCTGCTGGAACCCAAACACTGGAGAGGCAAGATCTCTCCCCTCGCTCCCCTCTCTCCCCTCCAACCCTAACCTTCTCCTCTCTCCCCCTCCTCTCGCTGACCTGAGTCTCCTTCTGCAGGTGATCTATGAGCTGCCGACCACAAACCAGTGGTGCTTCGATGTGCAGTGGTGTCCTCGGAACCCGGCTCTTCTGTCCACCGCGTCCTTCGATGGCAGCATCTCTGTGTACTCTGTGATGGGTGGCTGCCTGGCCCCGCAGCAGCGCAGCACCGTGGACAAGGTGGGGTCCCACTGTGTCTGTGTCTGTCTTTTTCTGTCTGTGTCTTTCCTGCAATATTGTGATGTCATTGTACCACTGACATCACACTCACGCTCTCTTCTCAACCAAGTATAACTAAGGATCAAATATTGGTCTGATAATAATAATGTGTTTTTGCACAGATCTCATCATCCTTTGACTCCATGGATCCCTTTGGCACCGGACAGGCCCTTCCCCCGCTGCAGGTGCCTCAGCCTCAGCCCCAGGCCACCATCATCCCTCCCCTCAAGAAACCTCCCAAGTGGATCCGCCGACCTGTGGGCGCCTCGTTCGGGGTGAGACTCAAGAAAACCATTGTTACTATATGTTGATCTTGATTATGAAGTCCGAAAAACTTTGGCACTAATGTCTCCAATCCTATTCTCCCTCCTGTCTCTCCCCTCCTATTCTCTCCTGTCCTCTTTTCTCTCTCTTTTCTCTCCTTTCCCCTGTCCCCTCCCCTCCCCTCCCCTCTACTCTCCACAGTTTGGGGGTAAGCTGGTGACCTTTGAGTGCCTGAAGCCTCCTCCTGGTCAGACCTCTCAGTCCGGTCACAGGCAGGTCCACCTGAGCCAGGTGACCACAGAGACCGAGTTCCTGAGTCGGTCCAGAGAGCTGCAGACGGCTCTTCAGACTGGAGCCTTCAACACTTACTGCCAGAGCAAGATCCAGACGGCTCAGAGCGACACCGAGCAGGACATCTGGAAGTTTCTACTGGTCAGAACAAATATCAACACTTACATCCACACAATAATTATAGTTTATGAACCTTTTATGTGTCTGAATTAAAGGTCAACTTCTGTTCTCTAATCTCACACTGGTCTCTCTCTCTGGTCTCTCTCTGTTTTCCCTCTCTAGTTTCTTTCTTGTGTCTGTCTCTCTGGTCTTTCTCTGGTCTCTGGTCTAAATTAATTTTCAAATTTCAGGTTAACTTTGAAGACGAAGCTCGTATCAAGTTCCTGAGGCTCCTGGGATTCAGCAAAGACGATTTGGATATAAAGGTTTGTATCTCTGATTATCATATGAAATTATATTATACTGATTTTGTATCATGTTTATACTTGTTTTGTTGACGTGACATTCTCTCATGTTTCTTCAGATTTCCAAATGTTTGGGGACGAGTTACCATGCCAACGGACACGGAGTTGACGCCAAAGACCTGGCCGAGAAGATGATGCTGCTCTCCACAGAGGTACTAGACTTGGACTAGACAGAGACTGGACCCTGACCAAGACCAAGACCGGGTCGAAGACTGGACCTCGAGACCAAGACTGGACCTCGAGACCAAGACTGGACCTCGAGACCAAGACTGGACCTCGAGACCAAGACTGGACCTCGAGACCAAGACTGGTCTGACCAGTCCCGGACCTAGACCATCTCCTCTGCAAACCTCTTCCCTGTATGTTATTCTTTGTGTTTCATAGCTCATCAGGAACAGGTCCGTGCTCCGGTTTCCTCCTGGTGCTCCGGTTTCCCACCCCCACCACTAAAAACATGTTGAATAGTTCAGGGTGAAAGTGTGTTTTCATTAACACTGTTCCATCTAAATAAATAACTGTCTTTCAGAGATCGGAGGAGGCAGACGCAGCTCAGACTTCTAGCTCTCAGTCTCCTGCAGATTTCTTCAGCCAAACTCCCAAACAGACGCCAAACTTCCAGATCCCCGTCACATGTGGTAAACTCTGAATATTTCTGTGTTATACTCTCTCTAGTTTCTCTGTCTCTGGTCTCTCTCTTCTCTGGTCTCTCTGTCTCTCTACTCTCTATTCTCTTCTCTGGTCTCTTTCTTTCTTTCTCTGGTCTCTGTCTCTGGTCTCTCTCCTCTCTGGTCTCTCTCTACTCTGCAAAAGCTGATCTGAAATTGAGGCCTAAAATACTCAAATGTGAAAACTAATGATGGAAGCAAACACAAGTGATGTAGGTACCCGAGGTTTAACCCCTAAAGACTTGTATATTTGTGGTTGTTGCAGACACAGATGGTCTGATCAGCCAGGCGTTGCTGGTGGGAAACTTCGAGGGCGCCGTGGACCTGTGTCTGAACGACGGCCGATACGCAGAGGCCATTCTCCTCGCCATCAGCGGAGGAGAGGAACTGCTGAAGAAGACACAGCACAAGTATCTGAGCAAACAGAGGAGCAGTGTGTCCATGGTGAGGGACCAGAGAGAGAGACCAGAGAGAGAGAGACCAGAGAGAGAGAGACCAGAGAGAGAGAGACCAGAGAGAGAGAGACCAGAGAGAGAGAGACCAGAGAGAGAGAGACCAGAGAGAGAGAGACCAGAGAGAGAGAGACCAGAGAGAGAGAGACCAGAGAGAGAGAGACCAGAGAGAGAGACCAGAGAGAGAGACCAGAGAGAGAGACCAGAGAGAGAGACCAGAGAGAGAGACCAGAGAGAGAGACCAGAGAGAGAGACCAGGGAGAGAGACCAGGGAGAGAGACCAGGGAGAGAGACCAGGGAGAGAGACCAGGGAGAGAGACCAGGGAGAGAGACCAGGGCGAGAGACCAGGGCGAGAGCTTTGTTAACGCTTCTCAAACCTGCCTCCCCTCTCCCTCCTCAGCTCATCTCGTCAGTCGTGACCCAGAACTGGAGAGACATCGTGGAGAGCTGCGAGCTGGGGAACTGGAAGGAGGCTCTGGCTGCTCTGCTCACCTATGCACATCCAGAAGACTTCGCTCACCTCTGTGGTATGAGACCAGAGAGAGAGAGGGAGAGAGACCAGAGAGACCTCTCTCTGGTCTCTCTCTGTTGTAACTTAACCTGACTCAATGTCCATTACAATACATGTATTACAACGGTGACCTGAGAGAATCCTTTGAAAATTCCCAGTTTCTTTGTGACTTTGTGATACATGTTATATGAAGTTGGTCCATGTTGCTCCCGCAGACACCCTGGGGGCCCGGCTGGAGGCAGAGCAGACAGAGAAGTGCAGTCTTCAGGCCTGTCTCTGCTACATCTGCTCCGGAAACATCGAGAAACTGGTGGAATGTTGGGCCCAGCATCGAGACTGCTCCTCGCCGCTGGGGCTGGAGGTGAGAGGCGAGATACGAGAGACAGACCACTTCAACATGGAAATTTATGAAATTAGAGACTAGTGTTGAAACGATATGATTTGGAAATCACCAGCATTCGGCAAGATTAGATTCTCTGAGCAGTTGTTGAACCGTATTCATACCATCACCACAAGGTTTTACATAAATTGTCTCTTTCTGGTCTCTCTCTGGACTCCTAGTCTTTCTGTGATCTCTGTCTCTACCCCCCTCTCTGGTTTGTCTCTCTCCCTCTGAGTTCTCTCCCTCTTGTCTTTATTTGTTTTCTCGCTCTCAAGTCTCTCTCTCTCTCTCTCGGGTGTCCCTCGCTCCCAAGTCTCTCTCACTAGTATCTCTTGGTCTCTCTCTCCCTCTGGACAAAAATGTATTCTTTGATAAATAGGAACAATGTCCGTGTTGTTCCTAAACCTTCCGTCTCCTCTGTCAGGACCTGGTGGAGAAGGTCATGATGCTGAGGAAGTCCATCGAGAGACTGAGAAACAGCGAGGTCTCGGTGCAGAGTCCGATTCTCGCCGACAAACTCACGCGCTACGCCGGCATCCTGGCAGCAGAGGGCAGTCTCTCCATCGCCACGGCCTACCTGCCCGACAGCTCCGAGGAGGTGAGGCCAAAGAGTGGGTCTCAGGTACTCGAGTAAAAGCATAGACGTATCTGTCAAAGTATTGCAGTCGTTCCTTTTATAATAATGTCAATATTTACTTTGTCGTCTGATGTTTAGAAATGAAGTATAATCTTGAGTAGGAAATATATGGTAAAACAAGTATGAAGGGTGGTCTCTGTCTCTCACTCTCTCTGTCTCTCTCTGGTCTCATTTTCTCACTCTGGTCTCTCACTCTGGTCTCTCTCTCTCAAGGGCTCGACACACGGGAGGCGACAAATGAGAGCGATCAGCGAAACTCAACGCTGTCGCTCAGATAACATGACAGACGGGGCGCGATGCGGCTCGACGACAGCGTCGAAAAGTTGAGCCGATTTCAACTTTCTGGGATCGCGTCGCTGACCTGCGCGTGCACGATACATGCACGAGCGGGAGGATTTCACACGCACGTTTTTCGCCCGTCGCTGAGCAGGAGGCTTGCTAGCGATTGACGCTATGTCGCGCACGTCCCATTGAAAATGAATGGAGGCGATGCGATGTCGCCTCTCGTGTGTCGAGCCCTTTACTCTGGTCTCATTCTCTCACTCTGGTCTCTCTCTCTCTCTCTCTCTCTCTCTCTCTCTCTCTCTCTCTCTCTCTGGTCTCTCTCTCACTCTGGTCTCTCATTCTCTCTCTGGTCTCATTCTCTCTTTGGTCTCATTCTCTCTTTGGTCTCTCTCTCTCTCTGGATTGATTCAAATGGTTTCTATTCTAAATCACTTTCTCCATATATTTTCTTCTGCTTTATCCATTACCGTGTCAGAGGGGCAGCCAAAGATCTAAAGTGAAACAATTTGAAATCAGTAAAAGTGGTCACACATTAACACACATTATTCCTAACGTTTGCTGGTTACATTCCTGGTTTTCCTCTTGTGTCTCTGCTTCAGACCAGTATCCGGATGCTGAAGGACCGTCTGTTCCACGCTCAGGGTAACGGTCCTCAGTCCTCCATGGTCCACAGAGACCAGACCTCAGCAAAACCAGCACCGGCCCCTCAACCTACTGCTCCCAAGGCTCCTACGATGGTACTGTCATATTTTAATACCATCAACGTCTGTCACAGTAACAAAGAATGTGTAGTAATGGTTTAAACACTTGGTCCTTAAAGTAACAACTGAAGTGTACCATGTGTCGTTCTCTGGTTAAATAGTTGTGTTTTGATTTGTTTTAAGGTTTTCTTTCATTTTATACAGAAACAGAAACTTTATGAAAAAATTGTTAAAAATGCGGTAATAATTGCTTGAATTGAGTGTTTTTTTTATCTTTTATTATTTAATAAGAACATTCTGACTGCCTTAAAACTAGATTAAAACAAAGCCATTTAGTCTCATTTCAAGAACTGTTGCTTTATTTCCTCCTTCCAAGGGAGACATTTCTTAAACAATCGGCAAATCCTGTTTTAAGACAGAATGTGCTCAAATTAAGACAAATCAAGTCTTGTAAAACTTAACATGTATTTAGCTTGAATGTTTCACAACCTTTATCTTTGACCTAAGAGAGAGCCCTGTGAGTCACTATTTGACTCTTTGAGCTGAGAGTTGATTGGCCGAGTGAGGCTGGTCCTCTCTTTTCTCATCTCTGTCTGAAAAAGCAGATCTAAAGATGTGACAGAGACTAAAAACACATGCAGGAGAAAACTAATGACATGGATTTTCACATAAGCGCCCCCTGCAGGTGAAAGCCAGATCCTGTCAGACCTCTGAAGCTAAGCAGGGCAGGGCCTGCTTAGTACTGTGATGGGAGACCTCTGGGAACACCCACATTAGAATGAGTCTGGTGTGTGAGGGGTTGTCTCGCTTCTATCAGAAGTAGAGCCTTAGTGGTTAGCAAGTCAGGTACCTCAGCTTTAATAGTCCTCATGTAGCGTCCATCTCTAAGTGTTTCTCTCTGCTCCAGGGTCAGTACCAGGCGCCGGCTCCACCGCAGCCACAGATGCCCACGCTGTTCTCCCCTCAGTCTCCTCCCCCCTCTGCCGGCCCAGGTCTGCCCCCTACAGGACCAGGAATGAACCCCACTGCGCCCAGAGGCATGAGGCCGTCCTACCCCCCTCCTGCTCCAGGTCAAACACTCACTGGACCAGATTTATTTATTAATCACAAGTTTTATGCAGTAAATTTGGTTTCCTGCATAAAAACTAAACTACCTTCACATTTGGTCATGGTCTCTGATCTCTCTCTCTCTCTGGTCTCTCTTTCTCTGGTCTCTCTCTTTCTCTGGTATCTCTCTCTGGTCTCTTTCTTTGGTCTCTCTCTGTTCTCTCCCTCTCTCTGGTCTCTCTTTCTCTGGTCTCTTTCTCAGGGACTGGAGAGGAAAGTCTAAGTTTGTGCTTCATGTCACCTGCAGGTTTCATCCCTCAGCCTCCGTTCCAGCCTCAGCCCATGGTTCCCTCCCCCTCCTTCCACCCTGGTCCCTCCCCCTTACCTCCCTCTTCTCTCTCTGGTCCTCCCTCCTCTCTCTCTGGTCCCATGCAGCCTCCTGGTCTCCCTCCCACCAGCTTCATGTCTTCTGGTCCCTTGTCGTCTCCTCCCAGCTCTCAGCCTGGAGCTCCTGTGCCTATGTACCCGGGGTCCATGGGAGGGGCCTCTCCTATGCCAGGGGCCCCTCCCATGGCAGGAGCTTCTTACACTCCCATGGGGGCCGGGTATCCACAGGGCGGGCCTGGAGCTCCGGCCGTGAAGCCCCTGGCACCTCCACCCACAGGTCAGTCAAGTTTAAGTGTTTTTTAAGCATGTAGCAAAATATGAGGGTTCTGTTAAAGCTTAACAGATTGTAAACTACAATAATTCCATTTAACTAGTTTCTTGCTCTCAAAACAGTTTGGTTTTATCGCTATTTTTCACGTTTATTTGGTTGGCCTCTGTCATATCTTTGGATAAGCTTCAGGCAGCCCAGAGAGGGAGAGTGCGCCCAGAGAGGGAGAGTGTGCGCCCAGAGAGGGAGAGTGCGCCCAGAGAGGGAGAGTACGCCCAGAGAGGGAGAGTGTGCGCCCAGAGAGGGAGAGTGCGCCCAGAGAGGGAGAGTGCGCCCAGAGAGGGAGAGTGCGCCCAGAGAGGGAGAGTACGCCCAGAGAGGGAGAGTACGCCCAGAGAGGGAGAGAGCGCCCAGAGAGGGAGAGTACGCCCAGAGAGGGAGAGTACGCCCAGAGAGGGAGAGTACGCCCAGAGAGGGAGAGAGCGCCCAGAGGGAGAGAGCGCCCAGAGAGGGAGAGAGCGCCCAGAGAGGGAGAGAGCGCCCAGAGAGGGAGAGAGCGCCCAGAGAGGAAGAGAGCGCCCAGAGAGGGAGAGAGCGCCCAGAGAGGGAGAGAGCGCCCAGAGAGGGAGAGAGCGCCCAGAGAGGGAGAGAGCGCCCAGAGAGGGAGAGAGCGCCCAGAGAGGGAGAGAGCGCCCAGAGAGGGAGAGAGCGCCCAGAGAGGGAGAGAGCGCCCAGAGAGGGAGAGAGCGCCCAGAGAGGGAGAGAGCGCCCAGAGAGGGAGAGAGCGCCCAGAGAGGGAGAGAGCGCCCAGAGAGGGAGAGAGCGCCCAGAGAGGGAGAGAGCTCCCAGAGAGGGAGAGAGCGCCCAGAGAGGGAGAGTGCGCCCAGAGAGGGAGAGTGCGCCCAGAGAGGGAGAGTGCGCCCAGAGAGGGAGAGTGCGCCCAGAGAGGGAGAGTGCGCCCAGAGAGGGAGAGTGCGCCCAGAGAGGGAGAGAGCGCCCAGAGAGGGAGAGAGAATTACTTTTATTTCTCAAACGTTCCTCCAGATGATGTCGTGATGTGACTTTCAGGTGTGTTTCCGTGGCTGGAATCCTCTTCTTCAGGTGACCGGATTTAAAACAGGACGGAAACTCGTACTAAGTCACAACAACTACCGGAAAATCACTGATTCTTATGATAAAGAGAGAAACCCCGCTGTATATATGTTTAAACAGCTGTCAAAAGCCTTAAAGTCTCCATTCAATGATTTCTTTCACCTGTTGTTGTGGTGACTTCAGTGAGAGCTGTGTGTGCTTTTGCTGCTGAACCTGCTCAAAGTTGCATCTCCCACAGACTTGGCTGTAAGACGAGAAATGTGTTCAATTCACAGGCTGTATACAAAGGGTTAACGCTAACATGCTAGCTCTATAAAGGCCAATAGGGAAGTGCTCATGGTACAACGTTCTGCTCCAACTCTTTCTGGCTCCTATTGACAAACAAAAGTAATCTCTCCTAACTCGGTAACCGTTTGTGTCACACTCAGCATTTTAGGCTCAGAGTGAGAAAGAGCGGCCAGAGAGAGAGGGAGGGAGGCCAGAGAGAGAGGGAGGGAGGCCAGAGAGAGAGGGAGGGAGGCCAGAGAGAGAGGGAGGCCAGAGAGAGAGGGAGGGAGGCCAGAGAGAGAGGGAGGGAGGCCAGAGAGAGAGGGAGGGAGGCCAGAGAGAGAGGGAGGGAGGCCAGAGAGAGAGGGAGGGAGGCCAGAGAGAGAGGGAGGGAGGCCAGAGAGAGAGGGAGGGAGGCCAGAGAGAGAGAGGGAGGCCAGAGAGAGAGGGAGGCCAGAGAGAGAGAGGGAGGCCAGAGAGAGAGAGGGAGACCAGAGAGAGAGAAGGAGACCAGAGAGAGAGAAGGAGACCAGAGAGAGAGAGGGAGACCAGAGAGAGAGAGGGAGACCAGAGAGAGAGAGGGAGGCCAGAGAGAGAGAGGGAGGCCAGAGAGAGAGAGGGAGACCAGAGAGAGAGAGGGGGGCCAGAGAGAGAGAGGGAGGCCAGAGAGAGAGAGGGAGGCCAGAGAGAGAGGGAGACCAGAGAGAGAGGGAGGCCAGAGAGAGAGAGGGGGGCCAGAGAGGGAGGGAGGCCAGAGAGGGAGGGAGGCCAGAGAGAGAGAGGGAGGCCAGAGAGGGAGGGAGGCCAGAGAGGGAGGGAGGCCAGAGAGAGAGGGAGGCCAGAGAGAGAGGGAGAGAGGCCCAGAGAGGGAGAGTGCGCCCAGAGAGGGAGAGTGCGCCCAGAGAGGGAGAGTGCGCCCAGAGAGGGAGAGTGCGCCCAGAGAGGGAAGGTGCGCCCAGAGAGGGAGAGTGCGCCCAGAGAGGGAGAGAGCGCCCAGAGAGGGAGAGAGCGCCCAGAGAGGGAGAGAGCGCCCAGAGAGGGAGAGAGCGCCCAGAGAGGGAGAGAGAATTACTTTTATTTCTCAAACGTTCCTCCAGATGATGTCGTGATGTGACTTTCAGGTGTGTTTCCGTGGCTGGAATCCTCTTCTTCAGGTGACCGGATTTAAAACAGGACGGAAACTCGTACTAAGTCACAACAACTACCGGAAAATCACTGATTCTTATGATAAAGAGAGAAACCCCGCTGTATATATGTTTAAACAGCTGTCAAAAGCCTTAAAGTCTCCATTCAATGATTTCTTTCACCTGTTGTTGTGGTGACTTCAGTGAGAGCTGTGTGTGCTTTTGCTGCTGAACCTGCTCAAAGTTGCATCTCCCACAGACTTGGCTGTAAGACGAGAAATGTGTTCAATTCATAGGCTGTATACAAAGGGTTAACGCTAACATGCTAGCTCTATAAAGGCCAATAGGGAAGTGCTCATGGTACAACGTTCCGCTCCAACTCTTTCTGGCTCCTATTGACAAACAAAAGTAATCTCTCCTAACTCGGTAACCGTTTGTGTCACACTCAGCATTTTAGGCTCAGAGTGAGAAAGAGCGGCCAGAGAGAGAGGGAGGGAGGCCAGAGAGAGAGGGAGGGAGGCCAGAGAGAGAGGGAGGGAGGCCAGAGAGAGAGGGAGGCCAGAGAGAGAGGGAGGGAGGCCAGAGAGAGAGGGAGGGAGGCCAGAGAGAGAGGGAGGGAGGCCAGAGAGAGAGGGAGGGAGGCCAGAGAGAGAGGGAGGGAGGCCAGAGAGAGAGGGAGGGAGGCCAGAGAGAGAGAGGGAGGCCAGAGAGAGAGGGAGGCCAGAGAGAGAGAGGGAGGCCAGAGAGAGAGAGGGAGACCAGAGAGAGAGAAGGAGACCAGAGAGAGAGAGGGAGACCAGAGAGAGAGGGAGACCAGAGAGAGAGAGGGAGACCAGAGAGAGAGAGGGAGACCAGAGAGAGAGAGGGAGACCAGAGAGAGAGAGAGGGAGACCAGAGAGAGAGAGAAGGAGACCAGAGAGAGAGAAGGAGACCAGAGAGAGAGAGGGAGACCAGAGAGAGAGAGGGAGACCAGAGAGAGAGGGAGACCAGAGAGAGAGAGGGAGACCAGAGAGAGGGAAGGGAGGCCAGAGAGAGAGAGGGGGGCCAGAGAGAGAGAGGGAGGCCAGAGAGAGAGAGGGAGGCCAGAGAGAGAGGGAGACCAGAGAGAGAGGGAGGCCAGAGAGAGAGAGGGGGGCCAGAGAGGGAGGGAGGCCAGAGAGGGAGGGAGGCCAGAGAGAGAGAGGGAGGCCAGAGAGGGAGGGAGGCCAGAGAGGGAGGGAGGCCAGAGAGGGAGGGAGGCCAGAGAGGGAGGGAGGCCAGAGAGGGAGGGAGAGAGGCCCAGAGAGGGAGAGTGCGCCCAGAGAGGGAGAGTGCGCCCAGAGAGGGAGAGTGCGCCCAGAGAGGGAGAGTGCGCCCAGAGAGGGAGGGAGAGTGCGCCCAGAGAGGGAGAGTGCGCCCAGAGAGGGAGAGTGCGCCCAGAGAGGGAGAGAGCGCCCAGAGAGGGAGAGAGCGCCCAGAGAGGGAGAGAGCGCCCAGAGAGGGAGAGAGCGCCCAGAGAGGGAGAGAGAATTACTTTTATTTCTCAAACGTTCCTCCAGATGATGTCGTGATGTGACTTTCAGGTGTGTTTCCGTGGCTGGAATCCTCTTCTTCAGGTGACCGGATTTAAAACAGGACGGAAACTCGTACTAAGTCACAACAACTACCGGAAAATCACTGATTCTTATGATAAAGAGAGAAACCCCGCTGTATATATGTTTAAACAGCTGTCAAAAGCCTTAAAGTCTCCATTCAATGATTTCTTTCCATTGTTGTTGTGGTGACTTCAGTGAGAGCTGTGTGTGCTTTTGCTGCTGAACCTGCTCAAAGTTGCATCTCCCACAGACTTGGCTGTAAGACGAGAAATGTGTTCAATTCACAGGCTGTATACAAAGGGTTAACGCTAACATGCTAGCTCTATAAAGGCCAATAGGGAAGTGCTCATGGTACAACGTTCTGCTCCAACTCTTTCTGGCTCCTATTGACAAACAAAAGTAATCTCTCCTAACTCGGTAACCGTTTGTGTCACACTCAGCATTTTAGGCTCAGAGTGAGAAAGAGCGGCCAGAGAGAGAGGGAGGGAGGCCAGAGAGAGAGGGAGGGAGGCCAGAGAGAGAGGGAGGGAGGCCAGAGAGAGAGGGAGGCCAGAGAGAGAGGGAGGCCAGAGAGAGAGGGAGGGAGGCCAGAGAGAGAGGGAGGGAGGCCAGAGAGAGAGGGAGGGAGGCCAGAGAGAGAGGGAGGGAGGCCAGAGAGAGAGGGAGGGAGGCCAGAGAGAGAGAGGGAGGCCAGAGAGAGAGGGAGGCCAGAGAGAGAGAGGGAGGCCAGAGAGAGAGAGGGAGGCCAGAGAGAGAGAGGGAGGCCAGAGAGAGAGAAGGAGACCAGAGAGAGAGAAGGAGACCAGAGAGAGAGAGGGAGACCAGAGAGAGAGAGGGAGACCAGAGAGAGAGAGGGAGGCCAGAGAGAGAGAGGGAGGCCAGAGAGAGAGAGGGAGACCAGAGAGAGAGAGGGGGGCCAGAGAGAGAGAGGGAGGCCAGAGAGAGAGAGGGAGGCCAGAGAGAGAGGGAGGCCAGAGAGAGAGGGAGACCAGAGAGAGAGGGAGGCCAGAGAGAGAGAGAGGGGGCCAGAGAGGGAGGGAGGCCAGAGAGGGAGGGAGGCCAGAGAGAGAGAGGGAGGCCAGAGAGGGAGGGAGGCCAGAGAGGAGGGAGGCCAGAGAGAGAGGGAGGCCAGAGAGAGAGGGAGAGAGGCCCAGAGAGGGAGAGTGCGCCCAGAGAGGGAGAGTGCGCCCAGAGAGGGAGAGTGCGCCCAGAGAGGGAGAGTGCGCCCAGAGAGGGAGAGTGCGCCCAGAGAGGGAGAGTGCGCCCAGAGAGGGAGAGTGCGCCCAGAGAGGGAGAGTGCGCCCAGAGAGGGAGAGAGCGCCCAGAGAGGGAGAGAGCGCCCAGAGAGGGAGAGAGCGCCCAGAGAGGGAGAGAGCGCCCAGAGAGGGAGAGAGCGCCCAGAGAGGGAGAGAGCGCCCAGAGAGGGAGAGAGAATTACTTTTATTTCTCAAACGTTCCTCCAGATGATGTCGTGATGTGACTTTCAGGTGTGTTTCCGTGGCTGGAATCCTCTTCTTCAGGTGACCGGATTTAAAACAGGACGGAAACTCGTACTAAGTCACAACAACTACCGGAAAATCACTGATTCTTATGATAAAGAGAGAAACCCCGCTGTATATATGTTTAAACAGCTGTCAAAAGCCTTAAAGTCTCCATTCAATGATTTCTTTCACCTGTTGTTGTGGTGACTTCAGTGAGAGCTGTGTGTGCTTTTGCTGCTGAACCTGCTCAAAGTTGCATCTCCCACAGACTTGGCTGTAAGACGAGAAATGTGTTCAATTCATAGGCTGTATACAAAGGGTTAACGCTAACATGCTAGCTCTATAAAGGCCAATAGGGAAGTGCTCATGGTACAACGTTCTGCTCCAACTCTTTCTGGCTCCTATTGACAAACAAAAGTAATCTCTCCTAACTCGGTAACCGTTTGTGTCACACTCAGCATTTTAGGCTCAGAGTGAGAAAGAGCGGCCAGAGAGAGAGGGAGGGAGGCCAGAGAGAGAGGGAGGGAGGCCAGAGAGAGAGGGAGGGAGGCCAGAGAGAGAGGGAGGGAGGCCAGAGAGAGAGAGGGAGGGAGGCCAGAGAGAGAGGGAGGCCAGAGAGAGAGGGAGGGAGGCCAGAGAGAGGCAGAGAGAGGGAGGGAGGCCAGAGAGAGAGGGAGGGAGGCCAGAGAGAGAGGGAGGGAGGCCAGAGAGAGAGGGAGGGAGGCCAGAGAGAGAGGGAGGGAGGCCAGAGAGAGAGAGGGAGGCCAGAGAGAGAGAGGGAGGCCAGAGAGAGAGAGGGAGGCCAGAGAGAGAGAGGGAAGCCAGAGAGAGAGAGAGGGAGACCAGAGAGAGAGAAGGAGACCAGAGAGAGAGAGGGAGACCAGAGAGAGAGGAGACCAGGAGACCAGAGAGAGAGAGGGAGGCCAGAGAGAGAGAGGGAGGCCAGAGAGAGAGAGGGAGACCAGAGAGAGAGAGGGGAGCCAGAGAGAGAGAGGGAGGCCAGAGAGAGAGAGGGAGGCCAGAGAGAGAGAGGGAGACCAGAGAGAGAGGGAGACCAGAGAGAGAGGGAGGCCGAGAGAGAGAGGGGGGCCAGAGAGGGAGGGAGGCCAGAGAGGGAGGGAGGCCAGAGAGAGAGAGGGAGGCCAGAGAGGGAGGGAGGCCAGAGAGAGAGAGGCCAGAGAGGGAGGGAGGCCAGAGAGGGAGGGAGGCCAGAGAGAGAGGGAGGCCAGAGAGGGAGGGAGGCCAGAGAGAGAGGGAGGCCAGAGAGAGAGGGAGGCCAGAGAGAGAGAGGGAGGCCAGAGAGGGAGGGAGGCCAGAGAGGGAGGGAGGCCAGAGAGGGAGGGAGGCCAGAGAGGGAGGGAGGCCAGAGAGGGAGGGAGGCCAGAGAGGGAGGGAGGCCAGAGAGGGAGGGAGGCCAGAGAGAGAGAGGGAGGCCAGAGAGAGAGAGAGGGAGGCCAGAGAGAGAGAGAGGGAGGCCAGAGAGAGAGGGAGGGGGAGGCCAGAGAGAGAGGGAGGGAGGCCAGAGAGAGAGGGAGGGAGGCCAGAGAGCGAGGGAGGGAGGCCAGAGAGCGAGGGAGGGAGGCCAGAGAGAGAGGGAGAGAGGCCAGAGAGAGAGGGAGGGAGGCCAGAGAGAGAGAGGGAGGGAGGCCAGAGAGGGAGGGAGGCCAGAGAGAGAGAGGCCAGAGAGGGAGGGAGGCCAGAGAGGGAGGGAGGCCAGAGAGAGAGGGAGGCCAGAGAGAGAGGGAGGCCAGAGAGAGAGGGAGGGAGGCCAGAGAGAGAGGGAGGGAGGCCAGAGAGAGAGGGAGGGAGGCCAGAGAGAGAGGGAGGGAGGCCAGAGAGAGAGGGAGAGAGGCCAGAGAGAGAGGGAGGGAGGCCAGAGAGAGAGGGAGGGAGGCCAGAGAGAGAGGGAGAGAGGCCAGAGAGAGAGAGGGAGACCAGAGAGAGAGGGGGAGGCCAGAGAGAGAGAGGGAGACCAGAGAGAGAGAGGGAGGCCAGAGAGAGAGAGGGAGACCAGAGAGAGAGAGGGAGACCAGAGAGAGAGAGGGAGGCCAGAGAGAGAGAGGGAGGCCAGAGAGAGAGAGGGAGACCAGAGAGAGAGAGGGAGCCCAGAGAGAGAGAGGGAGGCCAGAGAGGGAGGGAGGCCAGAGAGGGAGGGAGGCCAGAGAGGGAGGGAGGCCAGAGAGGGAGGGAGGCCAGAGAGGGAGAGAGGGAGGCCAGAGAGAGAGGGAGGGAGGCCAGAGAGAGAGGGAGGGAGGCCAGAGAGAGAGGGAGGGAGGCCAGAGAGAGAGGGAGGGAGGCCAGAGAGAGAGGGAGGGAGGCCAGAGAGCGAGGGAGGGAGGCCAGAGAGCGAGGGAGGGAGGCCAGAGAGCGAGGGAGGGAGGCCAGAGAGCGAGGGAGGGAGGCCAGAGAGCGAGGGAGGGAGGCCAGAGAGAGAGGGAGGGAGGCCAGAGAGGAGGGAGAGGCCAGAGAGAGAGGGGGAGGCCAGAGAGAGAGGGAGGGAGGCCAGAGAGAGAGAGGGAGGGAGGCCAGAGAGAGAGAGGGAGGAGGCCAGAGAGAGAGAGGGAGGGAGGCCAGAGAGAGAGAGGGAGGCCAGAGAGAGAGAGGGAGGCCAGAGAGAGAGAGGGAGGCCAGAGAGGGAGGGAGGCCAGAGAGAGAGAGGGAGGCCAGAGAGGGAGGGAGGCCAGAGAGGGAGGGAGGCCAGAGAGGAGGGAGGCCAGAGAGAGAGGGAGGCCAGAGAGAGAGGGAGGGAGGCCAGAGAGAGAGGGAGGGAGGCCAGAGAGAGAGGGAGGGAGGCCAGAGAGAGAGGGAGGGAGGCCAGAGAGAGAGGGAGGGAGGCCAGAGAGGGAGGGAGGCCAGAGAGGGAGGGAGGCCAGAGAGGGAGGGAGGCCAGAGAGGGAGGGAGGCCAGAGAGGGAGGGAGGCCAGAGAGGGAGGGAGGCCAGAGAGAGAGGGAGGCCAGAGAGAGAGGGAGGCCAGAGAGAGAGGGAGGGAGGCCAGAGAGAGAGGGAGGGAGGCCAGAGAGCGAGGGAGGGAGGCCAGAGAGCGAGGGAGGGAGGCCAGAGAGCGAGGGAGGGAGGCCAGAGAGCGAGGGAGGGAGGCCAGAGAGAGAGGGAGGGAGGCCAGAGAGCGAGGGAGGGAGGCCAGAGAGAGAGGGAGGGAGGCCAGAGAGAGAGGGAGAGAGGCCAGAGAGAGAGGGAGGGAGGCCAGAGAGAGAGAGGGAGGGAGGCCAGAGAGAGAGAGGGAGGGAGGCCAGAGAGAGAGAGGGAGGGAGGCCAGAGAGGGAGGGAGGCCAGAGAGAGAGAGGGAGGCCAGAGAGAGAGAGGGAGGCCAGAGAGGGAGGGAGGCCAGAGAGGGAGGGAGGCCAGAGAGAGAGGGAGGCCAGAGAGAGAGGGAGGGAGGCCAGAGAGAGAGGGAGGGAGGCCAGAGAGAGAGGGAGGGAGGCCAGAGAGAGAGGGAGGGAGGCCAGAGAGAGAGGGAGGGAGGCCAGAGAGAGAGGGAGGGAGGCCAGAGAGAGAGGGAGAGAGGCCAGAGAGAGAGGGAGGGAGGCCAGAGAGAGAGGGAGGGAGGCCAGGAGCGAGGGAGGAGGCAGAGAGCGAGGGAGGGAGGCCAGAGAGCGAGGGAGGGAGGCCAGAGAGCGAGGGAGGGAGGCCAGAGAGAGAGGGAGGGAGGCCAGAGAGAGAGGGAGAGAGGCCAGAGAGAGAGGGAGAGAGGCCAGAGAGAGAGGGAGGGAGGCCAGAGAGAGAGAGGGAGGGAGGCCAGAGAGAGAGAGGGAGGGAGGCCAGAGAGGGAGGGAGGCCAGAGAGAGAGAGGGAGGCCAGAGAGGGAGGGAGGCCAGAGAGGGAGGGAGGCCAGAGAGAGAGAGGGAGGCCAGAGAGGGAGGGAGGCCAGAGAGGGAGGGAGGCCAGAGAGAGAGGGAGGCCAGAGAGAGAGGGAGGGAGGCCAGAGAGAGAGGGAGGGAGGCCAGAGAGAGAGGGAGGGAGGCCAGAGAGAGAGAGGAGGGAGGCCAGAGAGAGAGGGAGGGAGGCCAGAGAGAGAGGGAGAGAGGCCAGAGAGAGAGGGAGAGAGGCCAGAGAGAGAGGGAGGGAGGCCAGAGAGAGAGGGAGGGAGGCCAGAGAGAGAGAGGGAGGCCAGAGAGAGAGGGAGGCCAGAGAGAGAGAGGGAGGCCAGAGAGAGAGAGGGAGACCAGAGAGAGAGAGGGAGACCAGAGAGAGAGAGGGAGACCAGAGAGAGAGAGGGAGACCAGAGAGAGAGAGGGAGACCAGAGAGAGAGAGGGAGACCAGAGAGAGAGAGGGAGACCAGAGAGAGAGAGGGAGTCCAGAGAGAGAGAGGGAGACCAGAGAGAGAGAGGGAGACCAGAGAGAGAGAGGGAGACCAGAGAGAGAGAGGGAGTCCAGAGAGAGAGAGGGAGGCCAGAGAGAGAGAGGGAGGCCAGAGAGAGAGAGGGAGGCCAGAGAGAGAGAGGGAGGCCAGAGAGAGAGGGAGAGAGGCCAGAGAGAGAGGGAGGGAGGCCAGAGAGAGAGGGAGGGAGGCCAGAGAGAGAGAGGGAGGGAGGCCAGAGAGAGAGAGGGAGGGAGGCCAGAGAGAGAGGGAGGCCAGAGAGGGAGGGAGGCCAGAGAGAGAGAGGGAGGCCAGAGAGGGAGGGAGGCCAGAGAGGGAGGGAGGCCAGAGAGGGAGGGAGGCCAGAGAGGGAGGGAGGCCAGAGAGGGAGGGAGGCCAGAGAGGGAGGGAGGCCAGAGAGAGAGGGAGGCCAGAGAGAGAGGGAGGCCAGAGAGAGAGGGAGGCCAGAGAGAGAGGGAGGGAGGCCAGAGAGAGAGGGAGGGAGGCCAGAGAGAGAGGGAGGGAGGCCAGAGAGAGAGGGAGGGAGGCCAGAGAGAGAGAGGGAGACCAGAGAGAGAGGGAGACCAGAGAGAGAGAGGGAGGCCAGAGGGAGACCAGAGAGAGAGAGGGAGACCAGAGAGAGAGAGGGAGACCAGAGAGAGAGAGGGAGACCAGAGAGAGAGAGGGAGACCAGAGAGAGAGAGGGAGACCAGAGAGAGAGAGGGAGACCAGAGAGAGAGAGGGAGACCAGAGAGAGAGAGGGAGACCAGAGAGAGAGAGGGAGGCCAGAGAGAGAGAGGGAGAGAGGCCAGAGAGAGAGGGAGAGAGGCCAGAGAGAGAGGAGGGAGGCCAGAGAGAGAGAGGGAGGGAGGCCAGAGAGAGAGAGGGAGGGAGGCAGAGAGAGAGGGAGGCCAGAGAGAGAGAGGAGGCCAGAGAGAGAGGGAGAGAGGCCAGAGAGAGAGGGAGGAGGCCAGAGAGAGAGGGAGGGAGGCCAGAGAGAGAGAGAGGGAGGCCAGAGAGAGAGAGGGAGGCCAGAGAGAGAGGGAGACCAGAGAGAGAGAGGGAGGCCAGAGAGAGAGAGGGAGGCCAGAGAGAGAGAGGGAGACCAGAGAGAGAGAGGGAGACCAGAGAGAGAGGGAGACCAGAGAGAGAGAGGGAGACCCAGAGAGAGAGAGGGAGACCAGAGAGAGAGAGGGAGACCAGAGAGAGAGAGGGAGGCCAGAGAGAGAGAGGGAGACCAGAGAGAGAGAGGGAGAGAGGCCAGAGAGAGAGGGAGGGAGGCCAGAGAGAGAGAGGAGGGAGGCCAGAGAGAGAGAGGGAGGGAGGCCAGAGAGAGAGAGGGAGGGAGGCCAGAGAGGGAGGGAGGCCAGAGAGAGAGAGGGAGGCCAGAGAGGGAGGGAGGCCAGAGAGGGAGGGAGGCCAGAGAGAGAGAGGGAGGCCAGAGAGGGAGGGAGGCCAGAGAGGGAGGGAGGCCAGAGAGAGAGGGAGGCCAGAGAGAGAGGGAGGGAGGCCAGAGAGAGAGGAGGGAGGCCAGAGAGAGAGGGGAGGGAGGCCAGAGAGAGAGGAGAGAGGCCAGAGAGAGAGGGAGGGAGGCCAGAGAGAGAGGGAGAGAGGCCAGAGAGAGAGGGAGAGAGGCCAGAGAGAGAGGGAGAGAGGCCAGAGAGAGAGAGGGAGGCCAGAGAGAGAGGGAGGCCAGAGAGAGAGAGGGAGGCCAGAGAGAGAGAGGGAGACCAGAGAGAGAGAGGGAGACCAGAGAGAGAGAGGGAGACCAGAGAGAGAGAGGGAGACCAGAGAGAGAGAGGGAGACCAGAGAGAGAGAGGGAGGCCAGAGAGAGAGAGGGAGACCAGAGAGAGAGAGGGGGACCAGAGAGAGAGAGGGAGACCAGAGAGAGAGAGGGAGACCAGAGAGAGAGAGAGGGGAGGCCAGAGAGAGAGAGGGAGACCAGAGAGAGAGAGGGAGGCCAGAGAGAGAGAGGCAGGCCAAGAGAGAGAGGGAGCCCAGAGAGAGAGAGGGAGACCAGAGAGAGAGAGGGAGCCCAGAGAGAGAGAGGGAGCCCAGAGAGAGAGAGGGAGACCAGAGAGAGAGAGGGAGACCAGAGAGAGAGGGAGACCAGAGAGAGAGGGAGTCCAGAGAGAGGGAGGGAGGCCAGAGAGGGAGGGAGGCCAGAGAGAGAGAGAGGCCAGAGAGGGAGGGAGGCCAGAGAGGGAGGGAGGCCAGAGAGAGAGGGAGGCCAGAGAGAGAGGGAGGGAGGCCAGAGAGAGAGGGAGGCCAGAGAGGGAGGGAGGCCAGAGAGAGAGGGAGACCAGAGAGAGAGGGAGGCCAGAGAGAGAGAGGGAGGCCAGAGAGAGAGAGGGAGACCAGAGAGGGAGGGAGGCCAGAGAGGGAGGGAGGCCAGCAGAGAGAGAGGGAGGCCAGAGAGAGAGAGAGGGAGGCCAGAGAGAGAGAGAGGGAGGCCAGAGAGAGAGGGAGAGAGGCCAGAGAGAGAGGGAGGGAGGCCAGAGAGAGAGGGAGCGAGGCCAGAGAGAGAGGGAGGGAGGCCAGAGAGAGAGGGAGAGAGGCCAGAGAGAGAGGGAGGGAGGCCAGAGAGAGAGAGGGAGGGAGGCCAGAGAGGGAGGGAGGCCAGAGAGAGAGAGGGAGACCAGAGAGAGAGGGAGGCCAGAGAGGGAGGGAGGCCAGAGAGGGAGGGAGGCCAGAGAGAGAGAGGGAGGCCAGAGAGGGAGGGAGGCCAGAGAGGGAGGGAGGCCAGAGAGAGAGGGAGGCCAGAGAGAGAGGGAGGGAGGCCAGAGAGAGAGGGAGGGAGGCCAGAGAGAGAGAGGGAGGGAGGCCAGAGAGAGAGGGAGGGAGGCCAGAGAGAGAGAGGGAGGGAGGCCAGAGAGAGAGGGAGGGAGGCCAAAGAGAGAGGGAGGGATGCCAGAGAGAGAGGGAGGGAGGCCAGAGAGAGAGGGAGGGAGGCCAGAGAGAGAGGGAGGGAGGCCAGAGAGAGAGGGAGGGAGGCCAGAGAGAGAGGGAGGGAGGCCAGAGAGAGAGGGAGGGAGGCCAGAGAGAGAGGGAGGGAGGCCAGAGAGGGAGGGAAGGAGGCCAGAGAGAGAGGGAGGGAGGCCAGAGAGGGAGGGAGGCCAGAGAGGGAGGGAGGCCAGAGAGGGAGGGAGGACAGAGAGAGAGGGAGGCCAGAGAGAGAGGGAGGCCAGAGAGGGAGGGAAGGAGGCCAGAGAGAGAGGGAGGCCAGAGAGGGAGGGAAGGAGGCCAGAGAGAGAGGGAAGGAGGCCAGAGAGAGAGGGAGGGAGGCCAGAGAGAGACAAACGGAGAGAGTTAGACCTGAGAGAAGGGGAGACCAGAGAGAGAGGGAGACGAGGGAGAGAAAGGGACCACAGAGGGAGAAATAGACCATGTGATATTGTCTTTTTAAATCCAGATATGAGCATATTAGGATTGACCAATCAGATGCCTCCAGCTTTCCTTAGCAACACTGTCCCTGTTACCACACAAAGCTAACACCACATATAACAAATGCCCATGTAAGGAATTTAGCTCCAGCTAGCTTAAGCAAAGGTTAGCTCGGTCTCTGTCTGTGTGTGTGTTGATGCTACAGGCCGAGGAGGTTGTGTGTGTTGAAGCATTAAGCATTTTGTTATAAAACTGCTGCTGGTTTTTATACTGTGCGTCTCTTGTGATGCTATAAAGTGTTTTTGCTGTGGTTCTAGGGCCCCAGGAGGGATGGAACGACCCCCCAGCTGTGAGAGGGGGGCCCAGGAAGAAGAAGGTGAGAGCACAGCGATGACCTCAGAGTCTGGGCGCGGTCTGACTGTGTGGCTTGTGTCTGTGCAGGTGCCAGATAACTACATGCCTCCAGCGCCCATCACGGCCCCTGTGATGGGGTACGCAGAGGCCCCTCAGGACCTCCACACCCAGGTGCCTCCAGGGGCCCCACAAGAGCCCAATGTCCAGGTCTGTGACTGTGCACTCTGACTTGCAGGTTGAATTTTATGGACCTTCCAATTCACAAGTTTCCAAAGGGCTCTCTGGTGTCGCTCTCTCTGGTGTCGCTCTCTCTGGTGTCGCTCTCTCTGGTGTCGCTCTTTCTGGTGTCGCTCTTTCTGGTGTCGGTCTCTCTGGTGTCGCTCTCTCTCTGGTCTCTCTCTCTGGTCTCTCTCTCTGGTCTCTCTCTGTTGTTTCTCGTCTCTCTGCTGCATTACAACATGAAAACCTGCGGCCTAAACGTTGACAACATTTAATTCCTCTTTAAATTACCATACGTTCTGGACACCTTTTTATAGTCCAGAACATATGGTAACCAAGGTGTGTCTCTGGTTGCGAGTTTCCTCTAGGTGCTCCAAGTATCAGTATTAATGTGTGTATTGTTGTTTCTCCTCCAGCTCCTGCAGCAGTTGCCAGCGGAGCGTGTGGAGCAGAGGGAGATCCCGGCGGAGCATCTGGTCCTCAAGTCCTCCTTCGACAGCCTGGTTCAGCGGTGCCAGCTCGCAGCAGCCGACCCGGTAACACACAGAAGAACACAGACACACACACACACACTCTGCAGATAGTTGTTGGAATAACGGTGTGTTTTTGTCGCAGCAAACCAAGAGGAAACTGGACGATGCGGCCAAACGACTCGGATCTCTGTACGACAAACTGCGAGATCAGACGGTGAGAAGTTTAAGGCTCCCATATTTAGCTAATCTTCATGTTCCACAGTTCGTCCAAAGCACATGTGATAATAATGTGAGTGATGCACCACACAACACTCAAAAGAAATTATGATATTTTCTTGCGAAGAGGTGATGTCATGTGAAACTCGGGGATCTGTGCTCCTTCCCCTGTGCGCCCGCCTCCCTCCATCCGAGCAATGATGTAGCTAAGAGATTAACACAGATTTCAAAGGCAGATCCCCCTTTAAAAAAAAGTCGGGAGAGAGACCAGAAGGACAGACCTCACCCCACTCTTTTTAAAATCTGCTTTATGTCAAAAAAAATAAATAACACACTCTAAACTAAACGACAGAACAATGTCTCCCTCAGCTCTCGCCTCACATCCTGAACGGCCTGCACGAGATCTCGAGATGCGTGGCCTCTCAGAACCACCAGCGCGGCCTGGAGATCCACACGCAGATCGTGGGCAGCAGCAACTTCAGCGAGATCTCCGGCTTCATGCCCATCCTCAAGGTGCTCATGACCATCGCCACGCGCCTGGGAGTGTAGACCAGCAGGGGGCGCCACCTCACCACAGTGTTCACCAGAGAGACGCTTTTACAGCAGCAGCAGCAGGAGGAGGAGGAGGAGGAGAGGCTTGTGGACCAGTGCTCTGTCGCTTTTTCTATGGGGTTTTTAGACCAGAGGGACCAGCAAAAGTTGGATACTAGTGGGTTAAAGCTGGGGTATGTAACTTTCAGACCACATGACTATGAATTGAAATAGAACTTTTTTATTGGAATTAGTAAAGCTGTTATGATATCGTTATGAGATCATAATGAGAGTATAGTGGACAGAGAGAAAGAGAGACACACAAGTCAAAAAGAGAGAACCCCCCTCTCTCAGCTCCCAACCCCAAGAGTCAAATAGTGACTCACAGGGCTCATTCTTGTACAAAGATAACAGTAGAAACCCTGTGATGTCACTGGTCTGAAAGCCCCATGATAAAGACTTCTGGGTCTCGCAGAGAGTCACATGTTCTGTATTTATTTCCCGTTTTGTCTTTTTCTCCTTTTGTTTTTTTGTACTTTTTAAACTCTGGAGAAAGTCGTGCCGCTGGTCGCTAACACTCCGCTAACAACAGGCAGCCAAATATTTTACAGAAAGAAATAAACATTGAAGAGACGTTAACACTAGAATGATCGGAGCAGTCGATTTGTCTCTTCAGAACGTTCTTGAATGTTTCCGTTTCTATGTGTGGATTATTTCTGGTTTAGTTTATTAAGATCTTCATTAGTCGCCGAGGCTCTGGACTGGTCTGGTTGTGGTCTGCTCCTGGACTGGTCTGGTCCTGGTCTGCTCCTGGACTGGTCTGGTCCTGGTCTGCTCCTGGACTGGTCTGGTCCTGGTCTGCTCCTGGACTGGTCTGGTCCTGGTCTGCTCCTGGACTGGTCTGGTCCTGGTCTGCTCCTGGACTGGTGAAAATGACAGTTTGGAGCAGTCAAAATGACGGCTTTGCGAGTTCTAGAGTTAAAAACATGCTGTAGTTTCAGTTTGGGGAATCATGCCTCCGTGGGACATTCCAAAGCAATACTCTCTCTGTGGAAAAGTCCATTCGATTTTGTTCCGTTCTGTGTCAGGGCTTTTGAACAGACAACATTTCATCCACAGAAACAAACGTCAAAATATGAAAGTAAACGATAAAAATCCTCTGTTAAAATTGTATTCAAAGTGTTGGCGTAAATAATGTTTGTGAAATGAATGAAAATGAATGTTTTAAACCTGTGTCTGGTCAATTATTTGGAAAACATATCTTTAAATTTACATGTAAAGTTTTTAGAAGAACCAACAGCTATGGTCCTCTCCCTGAACAAAATAAACAGATCTACTGCCCAGGACTTTAATACATCTGCTGCTAATGCTAATGCTAATGCTAATGCTGCTGCTGATGCTACTGCTATTATTGAGAGAGACCAGAGAGAGAGACTGAGACTATTTGTTTTCACATGCAAGTTTTTCTGTCCTCTGTCTCATATTTAGCTCAGTTTTTTTCAGACGGAAAGATGAAACGGGAGAGGACCACGCTCACTCAGACCAATCCGCTCTCAACCCAAAGAGTCAAATAGTGACGCACAGGGCTGGTTTCTGGTCACAGTCTCTTTAATATAGGAGGAAGAAGACTGATTTGGTCTGATTTGTTCACATTTTACTTTTTAGACTCTTTCCGTTTGTCATTTAAGATACACCAAGTTACAGACCTCAGCTTTAAACTCACACAAATGCACAAGATTTCGTTTAGTTCAGGTCCAGCTTATAATGAAACATAAGAAATCCTGTTTTCTGCTGCTTTCAACCTTGTTTTTGTGGCAGATCTTTCCTCGTGTTTCTAATCTCCTTCAATTATTTAATTTTCTGTGGAATATTTATGTTCATATTTGGACTTTTTTCATTTTTTTTAAAGTGTGTTTTGCAGCTGAAGGCTCTCAAGTGCCTCCAGTGTCACACATATATCTGTCAATACTTGTTGCTTTCTCACTTCAAGAACTTTTTTGGAATAAAATAGTTCTTCAATAAAATTTAATTCAATGTATTTGTTTATAGATCTAAATCCATATCACAACAGCAGCCAGAGGACTTTACAAATTTATGGATTCACCAACAAGACGCAGGACTGAGGCTCTAAGTTGATCCTGGTTCCTGGTACTAAAGTGTTCTAACTGACTGGGAGCCATGGTTACCAAGGAATTTCCCTTGATAGTGATTTGTTGTGAGTAGGTTGCTGCTAAAAGTTTGACCCTGAAATGCGTAGAAGAGATGCTATATCTCCTACAACCACTAGATGTCGCTTTTGTCTGTTTCTCTCTCACTTCCCCAAAACACATTCAAATTTCTCATTTCTTTTTCTTCTAAATATTTATTTCCAGCTCAACCTTTCCCCTCACCACAGAGTAACCCATGACTTATCTCAGTGACATCAAACCTCATGCTGCAGTGACTGTGAGTCTGAGGGCTGCTCTATGATTGGCTCTCGCTGGATCTCCAGGGCCCCAGCTCCGGTGTGATTGGAGCGGGGCAGGTCAGACGCTGCGGCCGCTCAGAGTGACTGTATTTCCGGGTGTGAACTGCAGTGACCCCCGCTGAGGTGTGGAGGTGGCGCGGGAGTGGCCTGATGCTGACGTGAGAGGAGACGGAGTCAATGTGTGGACAATTATAAACATGTTACCCCGGTCTGTCTTTCTGCTCTCTCTGGTCTCTCTCTAGTCTCTCTCTAGTCTCTCTCTGGTCTCTCTCTAGTCTCTCTCTGGTCTCTCTCTAGTCTCTCTCTGGTCTCTCTCTGGTCTCTCTCTGGTCTCTCTCTGGTCTCTCTCTAGTCTCTCTCTGATCTCTCTCTGATCTCTCTCTAGTCTCTCTCTAGTCTCTCTCTCTGGTCTCTCTCTGTCTCTTCTCTAGTCTCTCTCTAGTCTCTCTCTGTCTCTCTCTCTAGTCTCTCTGTCTCTCTCGGTCTCTCTCTGTCTCTCTCTAGTCTCTCTCTCTCTAGTCTCTCTCTAGTCTCCTCTCTAGTTCTCTCTCTAGTCTCTCTCTAGTTCTCTCTCTAGTCTCTCTCTAGTCTCTCTCTCTCTAGCTCTCTCTGTCTCTCTCTGGTCTCTCTCTCTCTGGTCTCTCTCTCTGGTCTCTCTCTGGTCTCTCTCTGGTCTCTCTCTGGTCTCTCTCTGGTCTCTCTCTGGTCTCTCTCTGGTCTCTCTCTGGTCTCTCTCTGGTCTCTCTCTGGTCTCTCTCTGATCTCTCTCTGATCTCTCTCTGGTCTCTCTCTGGTCTCTCTCATCTCTCACTCTCTTCTCACTCTGGTCTCTCTCTCTCCCCATCTTCCTGGTCTCTTCCCTCTCTCTGGTCTCTCACACACAGAGGACCACCCTCTCTCAGCCAATCAGCTGTTTATGAAAGATACTCTGGTGCCGAACCTTTTATGTGAAATGAGTTTAATTGAGAATGTTCTTAATATATTCGTCATATATTAATATAAACACATGGAAACTATAGTGATGGAATAAAAGTTTTAAATTACTCTGTTTGAAAGTTAGGTACCCCAGCTTTAAGAACTGATTGGACCCATCCTTGAACTGGACACGACACTTATTTCTCTCTCTCTCTCTGATCTCTTGTGACTCTCTCTCTCTTCTTTCTGGTCTCTCTATCTGTTCTTGTGTTTCTAATCTCCTTTAATTTAATTTTCTGCTGAATATTTGTGTTCATATCAACTTTTTTCTGTTTTTTTAAAGTGTGTTTTGCAGCAGAAGGCTCCCAAGTGCCTCCAGTGTCCCACAATCCTTTCTTGTTGCTTACTCATTTCAAGACCTTTTTTTTGTGGATTCTCTGATCTCCTTCTAGAATCAAATCGTTGGTAAATAAGACCAGTGACGCGCAGCACATTTGAAAATATTGTGTCACTTTTATTTTTAACATAACACAGTCCATTCAGAGAAACCTCTCCATCGGGTTCTTGAGATCCTGACGTTATCTCTGCTTCGACGGTGCTTCCCGAAAACACATTCTAATCGTCTGACCATTTTGTGTTGTTGTGGACGTCTGTTGGCACGCGGGTATCTGGGCAGAGTTCGAGAGCTCACGTTTGAATATCAGGGACTTTATAAGCAGAGGTGGGCAGCCCAGGAATGTCTCACTATGCTAGCTCTACAACAGAGCACAAGGTAAGGTCTGATTTGTGAAGCCTGCTCTCCATGTAGGTACTGATGTAGACTACTGCTTCTACTGATGTAGGGATGTGGCTCATGTATCTGTTAGCTGTCGATCTCTAGAGCAGAGGATGGAGGTGGGACACATTCCTGCTTCTCATGTGTACATTCTCTGTCTTTTCTGTGGTTTTAGTTTGCTGTTTGTTCGGCCTCTGCTGAAGGTTTGTTCAAGGTGTTTCCCAAGCGTGATGAGTTTTAAAAGAGAGACCAGAGAGAGAGACTGGAGAGACTAGAGGAACCAGAAAGAGACAAGAGCAAGAGACCAGAGAGACTAAAGAGGAAAAAAAAAATTGTGCTTGATCCATTGACTTCAAAACAGTAATAAAACTAAAATCATAGCTACTGTTTTTAAATATTATAGACGCAGACTTTGTGGCCGCTTCGCTAACGTGAAATCTATTTAATCTATGTATTTCACGCTGTAGTGCAAATTTATATCTGCATTGATGCTCGCCTAAAGTAGTAGTCGTAAACATAGAGCTATAGTTACATGTAGTAACTTAGCTCCGCCTTCTCTCGCTACTGAACATTCTTTAGAGCTGGTGTGCTACTGTATTAGCATGCTAGCTCTGGTGGTGAACTCACCACTCCCCTATATTTCACTTTATAGATAGATGTTTGTGTCCTGATTGTCGTATGACCCACCTCTGGTTATAATGCGCTAGGTGGAATTGACCGTACCTATGTGTTTCGCAGTGCTACGGTTGCCTTTAACTGAGAGGAAATCAGCAAATGTGGTCGTAAGGCATTAGGTATTTGTCCTGACGAATGGGAGAAAGAACAGGAGAAGACACGCCCACTTTCTAGGTAAGCAATGACGTCCGGTATAAGCCACATTAATGTTGTTTTTTAAAATGGTGTCCGTAAATCATAATTTGAAAGAAACCACATCATAGTCTTTTCAGTTTTCATACTTAAGTGCAATCAATTTTGAGTTAATCTGAGAAAAATCCAGTCAATACTCAATCACTCAATACTCAAAGATATTTTTTGTAGCTGTTAATGAACATTGGAGGAAGAGCTGAGTCTGACTTCAAATATGATCAAAGCTAGCAGTTAGCTTTAGCTATATTTTAAGTTAATTATTATTGAGATAAGATGCTGTGGTTTGGTCCAAATAGTGTGATATCAGTTTAAACAGGGAACTCCCATAGACTGTATATCAGGAGAGGACCATAGTGTTAGCCTTACTGCAGAAGAGGCAGTTTCGAGCTAGCTTGAACTGGCTATTTGAGCGGGAAATTGGAGCCAAATGTATGCTAATGTTATTGGTAGCAACAGCTCAGTTACCAAGAGCCAATCAGGAACTGCGCCGGTCGCTCTCCTCTTTTGCTATTTGTCGCTAAAATTGAAATTAGGCAATAGAACCAGTACTTTTACATGTTTGTGAGTAGGACCCAGAGCGAGTTGGAGCTAGCGTGTTAGCATTGTTAGCATTGTCTGTCTGTATACAGTCTATGGGAACGACTTTAAAACCATATTAAATGTCTAGAGAGGGGGCGTGACTTCCCCCTTCACTTGAATTTCATCTTGTTCAAATTACCAATATCTTTAAATGCAGCAATCAGAGGCCATTTGAAAGAAAACAATAAATACAACAAAACCGACATGTATAATCTCACATTAAAACATCTCCAAACACTCAAGAGTTGGCAAAATGGCAAAAGGAAGAAACCAGACCTTCACCAAAAACGACTCCAAACCACGACTTTATGAATGATATTTGACAAATATTCATTTTTATAATGACGTAATATAAGTCTTAACATTTTGATCACACTTTAATGATGAAAATGTGTTTTAAACCTAAGCTAGTTTGATTTTGACCCCGTTTCAAAAACAAAAACAAAACTATTCTTACTATCAATCCAAAAAAGTGGCAGTTTACTATGTCGATAGTTGAACAGATTGTCAAAAATGTAAGATTTTTTAAAACAAATCTTAGCAAGTGAAGTAAATCATTTCAAAATACGTTAAAAAAGAGCCAAAGAGAGGCCAGAGAGAGGCCAGAGAGAGGCCAGAGAGAGGCCAGAGAGAGACCAGAGAGAGACCAGAGAGAGACCAGAGAGAGACCAGAGAGAGACCAGAGAGAGACCAGAGAGAGACCAGAGAGAGACCAGAGAGAGACCAGAGAGAGACCAGAGAGAGACCAGAGAGAGACCAGAGAGAGACCAGAGAGAGACCAGAGAGAGAGACCAGAGAGCTGTATAAACCAATCCTAATTCAAAATTTCTTGTAGAAATAAAATGTATCAAGTTTGTGAGATGGCCTCATTTATAGATAAGAAAAGAGATGTATTGTTGCACTATTAATATAAATATTAAGACAAATCTATAACTTAACAATTGCACGGTTTCCGGACAATAATAAAAGTTGGACCACTCTGTATAAATTGTGCATTTCTTGGTCAGTGCAGCCACTTCCTTTGGGTTTGGTCTGGATCCCCCTTTTTCTACGGATAAATTATGTGCCTTTTTTATTAATTATTTATACATTTATTCTTTTAAAGCCAGCGTTTTCTCACTCAAACATCTCGCCCCCTTCAAACCAGGCCTCTCAAGATTATAATATTTATCATTTAACTTTCGTAAGTGTTTTTGGTTAAATATTGGTGAAGGCTTATAAACGATTATCAATAATATAAAATGCATTTTAAACTAATTAGGTAGCTACTAACTCAAAGAATAACAAAGCTAGCTAGCACTATCAATAACTTATATATTCAAATAATAAAATTGATAGATTTTAAGACATTTAGAAATCCCAACGGAAATTATTAATAAATTATATTTCTGGTCCATATTGTCTTGACCATATATGGAATCATAACTGCTCATACTACTGCTAATGTGCCTTGTATTACTAATATTATTATCATTATTATTATTATTATTAGTTATATAATTTCTTATGCGGAGTTGCAGGTTTAAATATAAATTAATGACTAACTTCTGTCCTGTTTTAAATTGATTAATAAAATAATGTTTAGTCGAATTCTATTTGATATAGAGAGCGCCAACGTGATTCCAACTAAAATATAATTAAAAAAATACAAAAACATAAATAAACGTATTGATTTTTCTAAATTATTTCCAAAATATATACATTTGAGCCGTTAACTAATATTAAAAAATATTGAAAAATACATTCTTTTTGTTGTATCTATAAATGAATAAATAAATGCTTTGATCATGTAGGGCCTTTTTACAGGTCAAAACAATCAAAATATGTTATCGTAGTTTCTAGACTATAAGGTGCACCTGAATTTTTATGTTGTGATGTAGCAGAGAGAAAGAGAGAGGGAGAAGAGAGACCAGAGAGAAAAAGAGACACCAGAGCATTCAACCAATTCTATATCGGCCACGGGGTTAAAAGTACGACAAAGCAGCAGCGTCGTATAGTCCAGACATTACACTAACTTGTTGGGGGCATTTTACCTTTTGTAGCCACAAAACAAAACTTTGGATTGATCTGAAGGATGCAGTTTCCCAGTTTGAAGGGGGCCCTGAAGGCAACACTGTCTGACCTACTTTCAAACCTCCTGCTTCCTCCTGACGTTTCTCTGCTTCTCCTCCGCAACGCTGCGTTCCGTGAATATTAGTCGAGTATAATACTTACAGAAGATGGTTGGCTACATGACTGACTGATATTAAATGCATAATAATGTTTTAAAGAACGCACAGGTAGCGAAAAGTAGCGAAACAGCGGAGAAACAACAAGTTACATAAAAAAATCTAAAACGTCTCAGTTTCATATCACACAGCCGCACTTGGATCCCAATTCTTATGTGGGGAAAACTCCAAGGACTTTTATTATATTTTAGCGAAAACGTTGCGTCACCTTTGCTCCGAGCAATTTCTTTGAGTTACGGCTACGAAAAAAACCACAATAAACAAGCAAAATGTGGTCGAGTATAAAGACATCGTCCGGCGGCAGAGCTGGCGACTCTCCGCGCGGAACTATGGAACATGTTTTTAGCTGTTCAAACAACCAAATAGTTCTCGGCCAAGTGGGGAGGTCAGTTACCATGGCAACACAATATATGCTAACGCTGACAAAAGCTAGCCACATAGCATCTGGTTTTGAATGGTTGAAAATACAAGTTTAAAACAAAATAACATGTTTAAACTTATTTTTGTGTTCGATACAGGTTACTTTGTCAAGAAAAGGACGTTTGACTTTGAAGCTAACCCGCTAATGCTAACAGGTTTTCATTTGCTAAAGCTGACAGCTTAAAGTTTGATTGACTATTTGAGAGACAGTTGGGCTGGCAAGCTAATCAAAGAAGTTCAACATGCCCTTGAATATTTTCAAAACTGAAATGTATGTTATATTAGCTCCAAAATATATTAACGTTAACTTATTTTTGAATGAAATATATGTGGTTGAAATGATAAAGAGCTGCTTCTGTTTAAAATTCAGCATTGACTCCACCATTACTTAAATTGATTAAAATTGTAATTTTGTGGAAATATATATTTGTGTAGCCGTGTTGCCCAGCCCTGACAGTGAGAGGGATAGATAGGTCTAGTTCCTCTCTTTGTCTTTTTGATGCAGGTTAAGGCACTTGTAACCCACTTTGGGTTCTGATTGTACCTATTCAACCAATAGGAGCGCAGACCACACCCCGACTCTGACAGAAACTATATTTAAAATGGTGTAATAGAAGGTGGCTGTGGTCCCAATCTGTGGTAAACTCTGTGTCGCCATGAAATCCTGACCTCCGCTAAATGCTGCGCGATGAAAACTATCAACACAACGTTTGTTTTGTTTCTTGTTTGCCGTGGAGGAAGGGGGGTGAAGTCCTCAGCCACGATGCGTCCCGTCCCCGGTGCGGTGCATCCTGGTCCGGATCAGGTCCCGGGAGACTTGCTTGGCGTCGGAGGCCAGGCCTAAGCAGCACATGAGGTCGATGAAGCCGGTGGTCAGGTTTACTCTGCAGCCAAACTCACTGGTGGCGTAATCGTACGGGAACGTGTGGTGGTAGTTATGGAAGCCTTCTCCTGGAGGAGAGAGAGAGCGAGAGAGAGGTCAGGATTCAGAAAGCCCAAAGAGAGATCAGAGAGAAAGAAGAGAGACCAATTAAAGAAGAAAGAAACCAGAGAGACCGGAGAACGAGACAAGAGAGAAGGGAAACAGGCCAGCAGATGTATTTAAGAGCACAGGGATAAGGTGTACAGATATTGGAAAAGTTAATTGTCTGTTATATTGATATATGTAAAATTATGTATTGTGCAGGTTCAAAATAAATACATTAAAAAGGTATAGAGGCCACACTTTTCCTCTGCACGTGTTACGATAGTGATTTTATTTACAAAGTTACGAGACGCCTTCGAAAGTGCCACAAGGCTCTATCAGATCGATCAGATAAGTCTCCTGCATGTAGACTGGGACTCAGCGACCAGACCGGTTTGAGAACAACGCAGAATCGAGTCCGGGATCTTTGCAGACGTACTCATTGCCCTTTATTCGTGTTTTTGGCAAATTCCAGCACAGATTGAGTTGTATAATGATCAAAACATGAGACCGAAGATAATGTGCCATCCAGAGAGAACAGACCAAAGAGAGACCAGAAAGAGACCAAAGAGAGCAGAGAGAGACCAGACTCAGGCTAGAGAGGCACCATAGGGACAGAAGTTAGTGTAGTGTCTGGACTCACCGAGCGCGCTGAAGGCCACAAACTTGTTCTCTCTGGGATTGATGGTCTTGTCGTAGGGGCGGTTCCCCCACATGTGAGCCGCACTGTTCACCAACCAGGTGGCGTTCAGGACCACGGTGTAGCGCAGCAGAGACGACACAAAGTACGACACCCACAGAGACTCCCCCCAGAAGTACCAGGGCACGAGCATGGGCACCATGAAGCACATGACCACCACTGACACCTTGTAGTACCTGATCAAGAGAAGGAACGGTTAGGAGATGCACAGAAGCCTCATTTCCATTGAGCAAAAACACGAGAATATTGCTAAAAAAAACCATGTAGCCTCTGTCACACACACTGAGAGACACAGGCTGGTGTGTCAAAGCAACTCTGCATTTAACCTGCCTATCATCATTTTTGCCAAGGTGTGCTCTTTCTCTCTGGTCTTTCCCTGATCTCCCTCTTGCTCTTCTCTATACTCTTTCCAGCCCCTCTCTCTCTGGTCTCCCCTCTGACGTCTCTCGGTTCCCTCTTTCGTCTCCCTCTGGTCTCCCTCTGGTCTCTCTCTATTCTCTCTGGTCTTTCCCTGGTCTCTCTCTTGTCTCTCTCTGATCTCTCTTTACTCGCTCTGGTCTCTCTCATTTCTCTCTCCAGCCTCTCTCTCACACATTTCTCCCAGTCAAAATCCCCCATTAGAGATTGTAGTCACTGACTTCCTCTGAAACTGGACAACGGGGTCAGAGGTCAGATCCTTCAGCTCCAGTTTGCGTCCCTTCTCGATGACGTCCGGATGCTTCCGCACCAGCAGCCAGCCGATGTGGGAGAAGAAGAATCCTCGTTTGGCGTTGTGAGGGTCTGCGTCCGACTCGGAGTACTTATGGTGGACTCTGTGGTCTCTCGCCCACTCATATATGTCGTTCTGCAGGAAAATACCATAAAAAAGACTTGTAAGAACAAACTGGAGAAAAATCTTAAATAATGAACCTCCCAAACTGTAATACTTTGTTATTTCAACATACGGTGGGGCAAAAAGTATGGAGTCATTGAGAGACCAGAGAGAAAGGCCAAAGACACACCAGAGAGAGATTGCAGAGGGAGACCAAAGAGATAGACCAGAGAGAGAAAAGAGAGAGCGACCAAAGCGAGAGCGAGCAGAAAGAGACCAGATCTAAATCTAGATTGTTGAGTTTGAAAGTTACATACACCAACTGTTAGACATACAACACAGACCTTTTTTTAAACATTTTTGTCAGATAACTTGGTCATATCATGTAATATTTTCATTTCTCTTAATACTTAGAGCTGACTTAGAGCTGTGACACTGCTTTGTACCTGGAAAGCCATAGAGTTGGCCAGTCCCAAGAAGATCCTCAGGGGCAGTGAGGCCTTGTACGACCGGTGACTCCAGAGACGGTGAGCTCCGGCTGTGATCCCCAACGCACTGACCGTATAACACAACACCGCTGCAGAACAACAACACACAGACACACAAACATTAGAAAACACTGTTTGTATACATAGGGACAATTCTAACACTCAAGCTCCGGTCTCTCTCTACTCTCTCTTCTCTCTCACTCTCTGTGGTCTCTCTCTGGTCTCTTCTGGAGTCTCTCACTGGACTCTCTCGCTCAAGTTTTGCTCCAACTCGCTTCTATTGACCACCATTTTGTGCTTAAATAATCTGTGTTTTATCTTTGTAATCCTAATGTTTTATTGTGATATGGTCTTTGTAAATCCAGATATATCAGCTTTAACAAGTGCTGCTCATGAGCTTCGATCGTAGCTGGGTCGTTGCTTCCTACACATTTGCATAAAACTAGCTCCACGTTTCCGCTCAAATAGACTGAGTTGCCTTACAAACACAGTTTACAGTAGTCCCTCGTTTTTGCACACATTTGTCTCTTTGTCCAACTATTTTGTGGATTTTTTCAACTGTGCACCCACTTATTTTTCAATGCCAAAAAATAAGTGGGTGTAATTTCCAGCTCGCGCCAGCAGATGGGGCTGTTTCACTGCCACAACAATGACATAAATAATGCATCATACTGTAAGTCTTCTGTAAGAGCACAGCGTCCGCACAACTGTTGACATACTTCTCACTCTGAGGCGTGGCTGTCGACTCGGTTCAGTGACTTAGAGAGATGTACCTGTTCGTTTGTGACCTACTTTATTTTAATTGCATTCTTTTACATCGTTAAACATAGAGCCCAAGTCCAGGATCTACAGCCTCAGTCCTGGATCTACAGCCTCAGTCCTGGGTCTACAGCCTCAGTCCTGGGTCTACAGCCTCACCCCTAAGATTTCAAAACTCATCCCAAAAGTCACCCAAGGACAAAGATGTCAAACATAATAACTTTTTTTCAGAATATAACAGAAATGCAACAATGACTCTAGTAAGCCTCGTCCTTGCTTTTCTTGCACATAACACAATTTAACTATTTTTGTATTGAGAAAGTCCTGCATTCCACTATTATTGTTCTTAATAATGTGTTGAAAATGTGCATGGTCTGCAACACTAAAGGCAGTGCATCTGGTCTGTGCAATGCCACAGTTGTGTCTATATCATATAAATAAATGGTAATAAATGTATAAACATGTACGGTGTGTGAGTGTGTGCGTGTGAGAGAGGGGAACGCCGTGTGCCCTGTGGAGCCAGAGTTATTCCAGACAGTGGGCTGGTATGTCGTGACTCTGTCCAACAAACAGACTGTTGTTCAGCACATCTGCACAGACAAAGAACGTTTGACACCAGCACAAGACCGGGATGTTACCTCAGCCAGAGAGAGACCAGAGAGAGACCAGAGAGAGACCAGAGAGAGACCAGGATGTTACCTCAGCCAGAGAGCGAGACCAGAGAGAGACCAGAGAGAGACCGGGATGTTACCTCAGTCAGAGAGAGAGAGCAGAGAGAGGGCAGAGAGAAACCAGAGAGAGAGAGAGAGCGGGATGTTACCTCAGCCAGAGAGAGCGAGCAGAGGGAGAGAGACCGGGATGTTACCTTAGCCAGAAAGAGAGAGAACACAGAGACCACAGAGAGAGCAGAGAGAGAGAGACCGGGATGTTACCTCAGCTAGAGAGACCAGAGTAACAGGTTGCCTCAGCTTTAGAAGCACATCACCACATGAGCCCTGTTTCCACCAGCCCTACTCTCCTCTCCTCTCCTCTACTCTAACCAGTACCAGAACCTTCTTTAGTCCCTCTTGTTCCTGGTTCTATGCAGTCAAGGAATTTCCATGGAGACTGGTTTGTTGTGGGTAGGTTGCTAGCACCAGATACAACAGCGTAATGGAAACACAACCAGAGTAGAGTACGGCCAACAACCAACTAAAACACCATATTTAAAAGGCATTTAAGAACGTGCAAAACCCAGGGCTTTAGACGTCTGTAACACCCTGCAGGTTCATATAAATGTTTTGACTGTGTGAGTAGAAAATAAAAAAAACTGTGGCTCTAACTTCTGTTGATCTTGTGGTCATTTTCGGGTGAAGGGTAGAAGTATATGACGGATGTGTGTGTTCTTTAAGGGAAGTGACTCTGGGGCAAACAATGTGGTCTGTGCCATAGACGGAGGTGCTGTGTTAAAGGGGCACGGTGCACTGGACTTTTACTAGTTTACTCAGAAGCTGCAGAGACGTGCTGTTTGACCCGTGTCAACTCCTCACCACGGAGAAGACAGGAACGAGCCAAAATGAAAGGGTCACGACAACCTTCACCTTTAAGAAATAAGTCTTGTAAAGTTACAGCTCAGTGCAGCCAGGATCAGAGAGAGAGAGCACAGAGAGAGAAAGACCAGAGAGAGATCATATAGAGGGAGAACAGAAAGAGAGAGACCAGAGAGAGAGAGACCAGAGGGGTCTACAATAGCTGCTGAGTATGAGCAGTAGTAGAAGTAGTAGCAGCAGCAGCAGCAGTAGTAGTAGTATCAGTAGTAGTAGAAGCAGTAGCATTGGTAGAAGTATTAGTAGTAGTAGTAGTATCAGTAGTAGTAGTAGCAGTAGCTAACTTCCCCATTATATACCGTTACAGATCCTGTTACTGCAGCTTTAAGCACAGATCGTGTATGATGCAGTGAGTCCCTGTATGTTGTTGCTTCCCGTCGCTCCTGCGGGATTGTGGGTAACCTGAGCTGTGGTTGTTCCTGTTTGCTCTAATGGGACCAGCTCCTGTGTGACATCATTAAGAGGAGTCTCCTCTGAGGCTCCGTGTTCCTACTGTACAACAGGTACAGCTTAAGTTACACACGTCTGACAAGATAAAGACGTATTGTTGTTGTGGTGGATTTGACAGTTTACTTTTGCAGGTTCGGACAGATTTGAAACTTTTGTCGGTTTGAATTGAAGACGGCGACGGTTTAGATGTAATTATTTCAAACGTGTTTCGGTGAAGACCAGACTTTAAAGCAGAGAAAGAACACAGAGAGAGAGCACAGAGAGCAGAGAGAGAGAGAGAGAGGAGAGAGAGAGCAGATATAAAGGGAGGAGAGAAAGCAGAGAGAGAGAGAAGATATATAGAGCAGAGAGAGAGCAAGCAGAGAGAGCACAGGGACTGGCCTCCTGCTGGTGCCCAGAGTCAGGACTAAACATGAGGAGGCAGCGCTTCAGATTCATGCTAAAATCTGGAATAGTCTTCCTGAAAATGTGAGACAGGCTCCTCCTTTGACAATGTTCAAATCCAGGTTAAAAACAGTTCTGAAGGATTGTATCTTTATTCTTTTTAATGCACTGTGATTATTTAGGATTTTAATGTTTCTGCCTTGTTTTGTTCAGCATTTTGAGTTGCCTTTATGTAAGTGCTGTAGGGGTGGGAACCTAAGGGTACCTCACGATACAATACACGATACAAAGCTCACGATAACGATATTATCACGATAACGATTATCGATATATTGGTTAGAAATATACAATATGCCAATTTATGGCATAAATAAAAGAAAAAATACTCTTTATTTCATGATAAATGAAATGGAGATGCGTAATGTAGCCATATAATAAGTATTGATGCCCTTTTTTTATGTAAAAAAAATAAATAAATAAAAATAAAAAACCTTTTTATTGTGCTGTGCTATACAAATATACTGTCCTTGCTTTGCCTATTGTCCATTGTGTGTAGTTGTAAAAGTTGTAAAACCATCCTCCCTGAAGCCACATGAAGGCAATAGGCAAGAAGACAGTTGGCTTTTATTGCTACTTTCTAAATTTCTCTCTCTCTGGTCTCTCTCACTGGTCTCTCACTGGTCTCTCTCTCTGGCCTCTCTCTGGTCTCTCTCTGGTCTCTCTCTCTGGTCTCTCTCTCTGGTCTCTCTCTCTGGTCTCTCTCTCTGGCCTCTCTCTCTGGCCTCTCTCTGGCCTCACTCTGGCCTCTCTCTGGTCTCTCTCTGGTCTCTCTCTGGTCTCTCACTCTGGTCTCTCTCTGGTCTCTCTCTCTGGCCTCTCTCTGGTCTCTCTCTGGTCTCTCTCTGGTCTCTCTCTCTGGTCTCTCTCTGGCCTCTTTCTGGTCTCTCTCAGGCCTATCTTTGGTCTCTCTGTCTGGTTTCTCTCTGGTCTCTCACTCTGGTCTCTCTCTGGCCTCTCTCTCTGTAAAATCCTCTCTCACCATCTAAAGCCTTATGTCCACATCTCACTCCTCATGCCACTCACTCTGTCAGCCACATCCATCTCGTGAGCACGAACCTTATCTCTACAAACTGGTGTCGTCCTCTCGCCCTGAGGCCAGAACAGGTTTCCCCTTTTGTAATCTCTGCATCGTACCATGATTAACTGCTTCTCTGCCCTTTCAAAAAATATGCTGTGTTCAGCCAAGGTTTCTCTTGTCTCTCTCTGGTCCCTCTCTTCTCTCTCTCTCTGGTCTTGCTCTCTCACTCTGGTGTCTCTCTCTAGTCTTGCTCTCTCTCTCTCTTTGGTCCCGCTCAACTCTCTCTCTGGTCTCACTCTCTGATCTCTCTCCGGTCCCTCTCTTCTCTCTCTCTCTGGTCTCTCCCTCTATCTGGTGTCTCTCTCTCTCTGGTCCCGCTCAACTCTCTCTCTGGTCTCTCTCTGGTCTCTCGCTGGTCTCTCTCTCTCTGGTCTCGCTCTCTCGCTCTCTCTAGTCTCTCTCTCTGGCCCCGCTCAACTCTCTCTCTCTCTCTCTGGTCTCTCTCTGGTGGACAGGTTCTGTAATCCTTGCCTCGTGCCCTGATTAACTTCTTCTGTGCTCTCTCTATAAATACTCGTGTTCCGCCCAGGTGTGGAAAATGGATTGAACTGAGGGCATTTGCTGAACTCTTGACAAACGCGTCTATTTTTAGTTGTCGCTGGATTCTCTGTGTTTCTCTCTCTGTGGATCTGAGAGCAGAGCAGACTGGCCTCATCACATCTCACTGCGAGAAGTTTAAGCCATGACAGGAAGGAACTGCCGCCGATACGATAATGAAACTACCGATGCAGAGATACAGAACTCTCACATGTCTGCTCTCTCTTTCTGGTCC